GTAGACCATCGCACTTCAGCGTGACCATCGCACTTCAGCGTCCCCATCGCACCTCCGAGTCCTACATATATATATATCTTTGACCATAATATTTTTATACAGCAGACAACCCATGTAAGTTATTGGTCATTATCATTTGATTAATGTTTCAGACCACCACATACAGGTTTACCGGGTACACACATAAGGCGCTGTAACTATTAACACTTCCTCCGGGAAATGATCCCATCAATTCATTCAACAGTGCTTATCTCATTTTCAACATCCTAAATATGACCACTTTGGTACAATTACTATTTAAATTCAAGCTCTTGAGGTAACTTATAAATATATTGACAAAGCTTCCCTTGAAATTGCCTTAAAAATACCAGATCTACATTTCATTCTTATTCAGTGAACTAGTATATGTTCCTGAATTTAAAAAAAATTATATAATGAAATAAAACGTGGATATTGATAAAGCTTGCTAAATAAAATTGGTCTGTGTTTAACTGTGACTTTATGCAATTCAAATGTTGAAAAAGAAGCTAATGAAAAAATACACAGTAAAAGGACTACAATCAATGACGATGCAAGGACACTAGAAAAATAACTCTTCCAGCAATTAACATGACAAAATCAAAGTCAGTAACCAAACTGATTAACAGTTATTTTTGAACACAATCATTTTTTTGTTTATTATACCTACACGTATAATTATAAATACATAACAGAAACATAAGATAAAAATTTCAAACTTCCACAAAATGCACTTTTTTAAAACTGAGTTTTACTGTGTGTTTATTTATTCTACATTGTCTAGAGAAACTAGGGGAGGGTTGAGTTCTCACACAACATGTTTTACCCCAGCCACATAATTATTGCACCTATCCCAAGTCAGGAACCTCTAGCTTTTGTTTATCTTGTGTTTTTTTTTTATAATTTTGATTCATTTGTATGTATTGGGGTTTCAAGCGTGATGTCCATTTCGCTGAACTAGCGTGCACAATAATTAAGGGGTCAGCTGAAGCCCACCTCATTGTGCCGGATTTACTTGCTATGTTAAAGACCCATTATAGTGGTCTTGTTTTCTCTTTGACACATTCCCTGTTTCCATTCTCCATTTTCGTTTTAAAAATCAAACTGGAAATAACCAAGATTTTAAAATTTTCATTTTTTATACCCCTCACATAGGGGTATTAATTATGTTTTTAGGTCTGTGCGTCCGTTTGTTCGTCCGTCTGTCCCGCTTCGATGATAGTTTTGTTAAAGTTTTTGGTCAAGGTAGTTTTTGATGAAGTTGAAGTCCAATCAACTTGAAACGTAGTACACATGTTCCCTATGATATTAACTTTCTAATTTTAATGCCAAATTAGAGTTTTGACCCCAATTTCACGGTCCACTGTACATAGAAAATGATACTGCGGGTGGGGCATCCGTGTACTATGGACACATTCTTATTTTGTAATTAGTTCGTAAAACAAAATTATATTTCACACAACAAATTGATTATTTTTGATATCGATAACAAGAGGAATACATATGCATATAAACATAAGATAATCAACAAATTGATTATTATTGATATCGATAACAAGAGGAATACATATGCATATAAACATAAGATAATATAGTCTGTCTATAAAGATCCTCTGTTAAAAGTTTTAACCATGAATAACCAAGCTTTTTATTTCCATTTTTCACAATTTTTAAACTACAAATTACATTTTACACAAGAATTACATTTTCTTTAAAATACTAATTACTATAGGACTCCTTAAGATAAACATCAGATAGTATTTTCTATTTAGATCCCAATTCGAAAGTTTTAACCATCAATAACCGAGATTTTGTTCATTTCCAGTTAGTGGGTTTTCTGTCTTAAAACATATATTCAACCAAAATTACCTAAATATTAATATTGATAACTAAAGGACTTCACAAAATAAACATAAAATAGTATGTTTTTTTTTCTATATACTATATAGATCAAATTTCTAAAATATTAACCATTAACAACGGAGATTTTTCTACGTTTCCAGTTTTTGACATTTTTTCACTAAAAATCACTCATTTCACCTCAAAATTACTTCAATATGAATAATAATTACTAGAGGACTACATAATATTCTATTAAGATCAGGTTCCCTGTCTTCAACAATCTTTAGGTCTAAAAATGTAACCATAAATAACAATTTTTCTTCTTTTCCAGTTTTCAGCATTTTTTATCTAAAAACCACATATTTCACCCCAAAATAACCTTTTCCGCAAATTATATCAATGTATAATTTTAGTATGTTGTTAGTACAGGTCTCTATTATAATTTGCACTAAAAAAACCTTGTGTTGCAATTAGTTGGAGGTTGAGTGATTTTAGAGCTAAATTGACTAGGCTATTAGAAACACACACATTCAAACAAAACGTTATTTAATTTGTAACACACAGGCTTGATTTTATTTTGACGACATATAGTAATTATATTTGGTGGACGTCAGCAGCCTGTCATGTTCTTCTTTTCGTCAGGTACATGTACTTCTGATCTGAGCAACAAGGCAAATATGCCCTCCTATCATAATTTCATATATATTTTTTTTATTATTCAAGAGAAACTTTCAACAAGGGTTCTACAGTGACCCAAATTCCTTACACTTTCATTTAATACCAATTTAACCCAAATGTTTTACTTTTTGACAGAGATACAGATATGCGTTTGGACTATTTTGTTTAAAATATGTACTACTTCTTGTATGTTCTTTCCAACTGGGCCCAAAAATCAGTGGTTCTATACCTTAAACAGGAAGTAGGAAGTTATTAAAATTCTGGGCATTTTTATTCATGTCGGATTTTCTTTGTCTATGAATTATATTTTTCGAGATACAAGACGTTTAGTGCATATTACTCTTATGTTCTATTTTTAGCAATGACTGCCATGTTTGTTGACTGACTGGAAAAAAAAACTCAACTTCATACTACATACCCTATACTACCCTAATACTAAGGATCATTCACTCAAAGCTTGGCTGAAATTGGTTCAGTAGTTTTAGAGAAGATCTTTGAAAAAGTTAATGACGAATACGACGGACAACAATGAGGACACCAAGTGATGGCAATAGCTCACATGGCCCTTTCAGCCAGGTGAGATACATGTAAAAATGACACTATGATCAAGAACGTTACAAAGACTAATGAAACTAGGCAAACAGGGGCGTTTCTAGGATATTTGAAAGAGGGGGCGTAGAATCAAATCTTTCGCCGAGCGGAGCTTTTTTGCTAAAAAACATTAAATAATGTTAAATTGCCATATTCAATACAATATTAGCAGATTACGATATTTTTATTTTTTTTTTAAAAAGGGGGGGGGGGGGGGGGGTTACGCCCATTACGCCCTCACGTGGACCCGCCCCTGACTCTAATAAAAAATTATGAGCTAACCTGAGAAAAATTGTTAAAGGCATGTTTTTACATCTCAAAACTTGAGAATTTTTGTGGGATTGTAACTAGAGGCTCTAAAGAGCCTGTGTCGCTCACCTTGGTCTAAGTGCATATTAAACAAAGGACACAGATGGATTCATGACAAAATTGTGTTTTGGTGATGGTGATGTGTTTGTAGATCTTACTTTACTGAACATTCTTTCTCCTTACTATTATCTCTATCTATAATGAACTTGGCCCGGTAGTTACAGTGGAAAATATATTGTAAAAATTTACAAAAATTTACAAAATTTATGAAAATTGTAAAAAATTTACTATAAAGGGCAATAACTCCTTAAGGGGTCAATTGACAATTTTAGTCATGTTGACTTATTTGTAGATCTAACTTTGCTGTACATTATTGCTGTTTACAGTTTATCTCTATCTATAATAATATTCAAGATAATAACCAAAAACGGCAAAATTTTCTTAAAATTACCAATTCAGGGGCAGCAACCCAACAACTTGTTGCCTGATTGGTCTGAAAATTTCAGGGCATATAGATCTTGACCTAATGAACAATTTTATCCTCATCAGATTTGCTCTAAATGCTTTGGTTTCAGAAATATGAGCCCAAAACTGCATTTTACCCTATGTATTATTTTTTAGCCATGTCGGCCATCTTGGTTCGCGGGCGGGGTCATCGGACACATTTTTTAAACTAGATACCCTAATGACGATTGGGGACAAGTTTGGTTAAATTTGTCTTAGTAGTTTCAGAGGAGAAGATTTTTGTAAAGGATTACAAAATTTTACGAAAAATGGTTAAAAACTGACTATAAAGGGCAATAACTCCTTAAGGGGTCAACTGACCATTTTGGTCAAGTTGACTTATTTGTAGATCTTACTTTGCTGAACATTATTGCTGTTTACAGTTTATCTCTTATCTATAATAATATTCAAGATAATAACCAAAAACGGCAAAATTTCCTTAAAATTACCAATTCAGGGGCAGCAACCCAACAACAGGTTGTCCGATTCATCTGAAAATTTTGGGGCAGATAGATCTTGACCTAATAAACAATTTTACCCCCATGTCAGATTTGCTCTAAATGCTTTGGTTTCAGAGATATAAGCCAAATTCTACATTTTACCCCTATGTTCTATTTTTAGCCATGGCGGCCATCTTGGTTGGTTGGCCGGGTCACCGGACACATTTTTTAAACTAGATACCCCAATGATGATTGTGGCCAAGTTTGGTCAAATTTGGCCCAGTAGTTTCAGAGGAGAAGATTTTTGTAAAAGTTTACGGACGACGGACGACGGACGCAGGACGACGGACGACGGACGCAAAGTGATGAGAAAAGCTCACTTGACCTTTCAGGTCAGGTGAGCTAAAAAAACTTGAGAATTTTTGTGGGATTGTAAAAAAAAATTACTTATACAAGTAAATTTTTGAGAAAATTAAGGGAAGATTATTCAAACACAATAATTAACTTATAAATATAAGTATATAATTATTTACTCCTTCAAGTAAATAATAATTACTTGTACATGTAGTACCTCTGACTGACAGTGAATATTGTTGATATAAATATTTAACAACAGAGTATATAGGTATATTTTATTAGGTATTGGCGATCATGCAATATAACATAAGTATATAGATAACAAAAAAAGTATAACCTGCATACAAAATATCTTATTCCCAACCTCTTATTATAGTGATAACTGCTTCCCCTGAACTATTAGATCACGTATACTGTTTGAATAGACTTTCGTTTTATAAATTACTGGAGGACGTCAATGAATTTTCCTGTGACCTGAGTTCACATATAAAAGTTAGCTACAATCCTGCAGAAATGATTAAACAAGAGTAAACACATAGAAAATGTATCGCCTGCTTTACTTAATATAAAATTTATGCTGATAATCTTAGTCTTAATTCAGGTATAGCATAAACTTGATATTATCAATGAACCTTGAAATTTAGGTCAATGTCTGAAAATTTCAGATATTTCAGAATATGTATACACCTTAAATCTGAAAAAAGGACTATATCAAGAAAACTTCTAATTGATTAAAGAACCCAGAAAATAATATAACTAAATAACAAGATTGTCTTACATAAAATAAATCTTGCTTTTTCAGTCTACCTTTGAAAACACAGTTAAACATGTGACTCTTTCTAAACAAATCAAATTAGCTAGAATATTATACAAAATAATAAAATATCTAGATAAAAAGAATGCTTACCTAAAATGAATAAAGTTATTAGATTAATGAAAATCCTGTGAACCTACACCTGGTACATTAAATAATGTCAGGTTCCATTGATGAGGATCCCAGAAGATAATAACGAAACAAATTAACAGAAAATACATATGGCTCTAACTTTGATTAAGGTATTTAGTTATAATGATGAACTGTAGGAGGTATTGCACCGACAGTTTTCTGTACATCAAGAAATCACAAAAAAATGATCTACAACAGAAATAAACTTTACACAACTTAGCTTAGTGTCAGTCTGTCATTTCAAAAGGTCAATAGTTAGATAAACTTCGTTGGGGGACTGACAGATGGTCAGAACAAAAGCTATGTTTCTCCATATATAATATGAGTAAATACAGGGAAATCCATTTCCTTGTTTTTAAATGGTGATATAGCTCTCAGTTTCAGGTAAACTTTGTTGGTGTACTGACAGATGGTTAGAACAAAAGCAATGTTTCTCCATATATAATGTGAGTAAATAAAGGATCCTTGTCTTTGTTTTTATATTTAATTGGTAATATAGCTCTCATTTTTATTACTTAATATAAAATGATTGGCTTATTTCTGCAGTCCTAATTAATATCAGCTGGAGTCAGCTTATCTCATTCAGAGTTATCTATTGACAGTGTCCCTCTTCTTTGTGTCAACATTTTCTCTGAGGACAAAAATCAGGTGTTGATAACAGTCACTGTAATCAATAAGATAGTTTTATCTAATTGCCAGTAATATGTATGTTTCATAGCAAATGTATTACTCCCTGAAGATTTGCAAAACCTATGGTGTTTCTAAAACAGATTGCCTGTATTTCACTTAAAATGGAAAGCAAAAATGATTATGAACTGATTAATAGGTTTAACATAACACACAAAACATAAAACAATTAAACTAACTTCCTTCAGTATTTTTACTTAAAAAAATCACTTCCATATCAATGCCAAAATAAACTTTGTTATTGTAAATTAGAAAAAAATGCCACAAACTTGGTTATAATGATACAATAAAATTAGGGATGTCAACAAGTACACAAGTACTTGAGTATGGCTCTGTAGTACCAAGTATCAAATATTAAAAAGACACTCCATTATTCAGTTTTCTTTAAGCATGTAAAGGATGTTATCCTCCACTTTTCATTTTTTTGAATTTTTCTTCACCGAGTTGATATTTCTAAATAAAATAAAAATTAATTAATCATAAGTATTTTTTAGTAATTTTCTGTGAGGTATTGCTCATTAATTTAACTGATAATTTATTTTGTTTGATATATCATTCTTATGAAATAGAACTTGAAAAATAGGTAAAACAAAAATCTGAATACATAATAGGTATGCATATACCAAACAATATTGTTTCTTCTTCAAAAGATACAAATATCTATTTAAATATTATAAATGCATTATTAAGCAAGGCCTTTATTTTGAAGATTTCCTCTACTGTATTCATTCTAAATATATTCACACTTGCAACAATCAAAGTTGATGAATGATCCTGAACGACTAGAAACTATGTTCACGATGTGACACTTCCTCTATCTGAAAAACAAAGTCAGATAGTTCAATTCACTACATAAAAATAAAACAAGAGGCTCCAATGAGCCTACCTGACTGTTCAACAGGCATTTTTGGATACCACAAAAATCAATCAACCTGAACCCCTCATATAAAGTCATATTTCTCTCTAATATCAGATTTTAAGTAAACATGCATAGTTTCGTTTCTCCGAGTAGATAAGAAAATCTAATTTCCAAGTTTTAAAGCATTGTAAACAAGTTTTAATTCTTTCTGCTGAATGCACCAGATTTTTAAGTATTGTTACCAAGCGTACTTATTTAAAACAAGGAGCCTTGTTGGCCAAGTGGTCTAAGTATTTAATCTTTAGTGACCACTAGCGTGTCAACACTGAGGTTGTTAGTTCAACCCTTCATTGACAAGGCGTGCTTCACTCTGATCTTGATTGACAAGGACACCCAGTTTCCCTGCTAAGGTCTGTGGTTCTCTCTGGGTACTTTGGCTCCCTGAATAACCAAAGTGCTTGTGAGCACTAGAAGGTAAAGATTGCTTTCATTTTACAGTGTGAATTTAAACTATAACATGGCATTGTATTAAGTCAAAACCAACTTCTATTATGGACAAAGGAAGATAACTCCAATCTTAATATTACTTTTCATTGCTTTTTTTGTTTTTTTTATCAAGTATGGTTAAGCACATGCACATCATTTTGTAACTTAAATATTTGAGTAGACATCATCTATAACTGTTTGCCATGAACATGGTTAGGATCCAAATAATGTTCACTTTTCTGCACTATGTTGTGTGCTCTCAAAGGTAGGAATGAGGTCTGTGTAAATATCAAGTCAGTGAAATAAGGGTTTTAATTACATTCATGCAATCTTTACCCAAAAACTGTCTACCATAACATGTCAATGTGTGCTGAAACAGGTGTTTTTAACCAATAATCAATCAATCTTTCAAATGGGTTTGAACAAATTAACATTAAGTGTTATTTAAGTCTGGCTGGTCAGTTTTTACACATACCAATTTATTTTTCTCTGATTTTATGCATACCAAATTATTTCTCTCAGATTTCTTACAAATCAAATTACTTTTCTCTCTAATTTTTTACATACCAAGTTATTTTATACATACCATGTAATTTCTCTCTAATTTTATACATACCAAGTTATTTTATACATACCAAAGTTATTTCTCTCTGATTTTTATACATACCATGTAATTTCTCTCTGATTTCATACATACCAAGTTATTTCTCTCTGATTTTATACATACTAAGTCATTTCTCTCTGATTGTATACATACCAAGTTATTTCTCTCTCATTTTATACATACCATGTTATTTCTCTCTCATTTTATACATACCAAGTTATTTCTCTCTGATTATATACATACCAAGTTATTTCTCTCTCATTTTATACATACCAAGTTATTTCTCTCTCATTTTATACATACCAAGTTATTTCTCTCTGATTATATACATACCAAGTTATTTCTCTCTCATTTTATACATACCAAGTTATTTCTCTCTGATTATATACATACCAAGTTATTTCTCTCTGATTATATCAGGTTTAAAGTCAGGTTTAATAGCCTCATTAATTTCTGCTGCATACATATCCAGTCTTTGTGTCATCTGTTAAAAAAATTGTTTTAAAGTAACTTAATTGAAGAAAGGAAACTTTAAAATTTTGAGAATCATACCTCCACATTAAAAGGAACTGAAATGACAAGCCTATTTTGTTGTTAAGTTTCAGTATCTGTAAAATCTTAAGTTTTACCTGAATCAATCACTATAAAAGAGGAACGAAAGATACCAGAGGGACAGTCAAACTCATAGATCCAAAACAAACTGACAACGCCATGGCCAAAAATAAAAAGACAAACAGACAAATAATAGTACAGATGACACAACATAGAAAACTAAAGACTAAGCAACACGAAACCCACCAAAAACTGGGGGTGATCTCAGGTGCTCTGGATATAAATGATTGTATCCAAATTGCACCTATTTTGACAGTTTTATCACTCACTTTTAATTAGATCCAGACAAAAGTTTCTATTCTGTGTTTATTTTGTAGATGTATCCTTTATAACTGTATAGTTCCACATAAATAAATATGAATCCATACTGAATCAGAAAAATGGGTTTGAACCTCCAAACAACCAAAGATTCAGAAATGAGTTGTACCTAGATTGTATCCATGCTTAAATCACATAGATCTGTTGAAATAAAAACTGGAGGCTCTCAAGAGCCTGTGTCGCTCACCTGACTCTACTTATGTAAAAATAGATAAAAATCATAACAGATACCCAAATAATAATTGAGGCCAAATTTGGTTTTATATTGGCCCCGTAATTTAATAAAAAATCCTGGTGGCCATCTTGAACAGTAAAGTAGCAACACTTCATCAGCACCTCATAAGGAAAATTTATGCCATGTTTGGTTTCATTCCATTCAGTGGTTCTCTAAAAGAAGACATTTTTATGTATTTCCTATAGGGTCCTATGTTAAACTAATTCCCCCTGCTGGCGGCCATCTTGGATGATGGAGCGGCTTCAAAGTAACAACAATTGGTAAGCATCTCATAAGGAACATTCATGCCATGTTTGGTTTCATTCATTTCAGTGGTTCTTTAAAAGAAGACATTTGTATGTATTTCCCATAGGGTCCTATGTTAAACTAAGTCTGCTGCTGGCGGCCATCTTGGGTGATAAATTGGCTTCAAAGTAACAACACTTGGTCAGCACTTCATAAGGAACATTCATGCCATGTTTGGTTTCATTCCATTCAGTGGTTCTCTAAAAGAAGAAATTTGTATGTATTTCCCATAGGGTCCATGTTAAACTAACTCCCCTGCTGGTGGCCATCTTGGATGATGGATCGGCTTCCAAGTAAAAACACTTGGTCAGCACCTCATAAAGAACATTCAAGCCATGTTTGGTTTCATTCCATTTAGTGGTTCTCTAAAAGAAGACATTTGTATGTATTTCCCTTAGGGTCCTATGTTAAACTAAGTCCCCGCTGGCGGCCATCTTGGGTGATGGTATGGCTTCAAAGTAACAACATTTGTCAGCACCTCATAAGGAACATTCATGCCACGTTTGGTTTTATTCCATTCAGTGGTTCTCTAAAAGAAGACATTTGTATGTATTTCCTATAGGGTCCTATGTTAAACTAATTCCCCGCTGGTGGCCATCTTGGATGATGGATCAATTTCAAAGTAACAACACTTGGTCAGCACCTCATAAGGAACATTCATGCCATGTTTGGTTTCATTCCATTCAGTGGTTCTCTAGAAGTTCAAAGTGTAAAAAGTTAACGATGACAACGGACGCCAAGTGATGAGAATAGCTCACTTGGCCCTTTGGGCCAGGTGAGCTAAAAACGAAATTTTGTTTTTTTATTTTGCCACATTTTTAGAACAATTTGACATTTTTCCATGCTTACTTTTCATTTTGTAAGCTACTTACTCTGAATCCCCACTTATCTTTGATTTGTCTACATAAGTTAAGATCTACTTCAGCTACCAGTAATCCATCCTTAGTTCTTGATAAACCCTGAAAGGAAAAAGAGGTCTTTTGTTAAGGAGGACCTTGCAAGGGAACATCATACATTATTTCCCTTCTACGAGCTCGAGGGAGCATGTTTAATTACTGCCTGCTGCATGGTAACACACTTAATTACTCTATGCTGCCTAGGAACATACTTACTTGCTCACTGTTGCATGGGTATATATACTCTTAATAGCCCCCTGTTACATGGAAATGCTTAACTACTCCTTGCTGTAAGAGAGCACACTTAATTCTTTGCTGTCTAAAATAATATTTTTTATTCCACAAAAGGAATGTAATCAATTGACATGATTAATGATAAAAGGCCCTAATATTGGTTTCAACACATTTTTTATTGTATCATAATGAGTATTTATTAGACAAGTTAATTTACTAATTAAGAAAATGATAATCTAATGTATATAATTTAATATAATTAACTATTGAAAAATGATCACACAGTAAAACCAAATTGAACAACAGTATTCATGGTATTTGATCGACAAAGATGTATTGATTATAAGTCACTGGTGTATTTAAGTGATTATAGTTTATTACTTTATATAACATTATATTAAAACACCCAGTCAATGGGTAAATATACATTATTTATGTTATCTATTTTAAAGAAATAAGTTTTATTTAATATCTAGTCAATAATTTTCCAGCATGCCATGCAGATGACATGTCATATTTTCCCTCTGGCCATCATATTATTCATGGTACTGTCAAAATACTGACCTTCATCATGTTCATACACAAAGTACAAATTATTAAAATTCTTGTTATCAGGTCAATTGTCGTACAGTATTTCCTGTAATTATACCACTACATATATTCTCTCTTTCTGTTCTGAATAAACTTTTGGGTATTTACTATACCATACTAGATATACCAAACATACTCAAGATGTTGACTGACCAGTATACCAAATACAAATTGGACTATACTTCAAAACTATATAAATCTAAAAAATAACTCAACTAATATATTTTGCATTTGCCATGTTTGCCGTGCGGACGAACTAGCCGGCATTTAATATGATATAATCTGACATTATGTGACGATACATATTTATACAGTACATCAATCGAAAATGATAAATTTGACTAACAGATTTGTCCATCCTAGTCTATATTTTAGAAACAATATAAAAGATTCTATTCCTTGAATCTTTATCTCCGTCATTAGTGATGAATGCCACCCAGGAAAAACAATAAAAAATAATTTCATGGAAACCTGTAACTCGAGGTAATGCCGACACCACTTCCAGAGAAAGCGTCAAGTCCAGCGCTTAAAAAACCAAATACAAAAATAAACAGCCACTGTTTATAACATACTTATATATAAATATATACACTTGTAATTTGAGGTTTACTATCGAACATCCACGGCTAGAATGAAGACCTTAACACAAGACAATACATTTGGCGCCAAACCATAAAAAACTTGACCATTGGTCATTCTAAACACGTGACTACACTTAGTCTTGATGAACCGTACAATACATTATTTTTCTACTATACTACGAAACGCAGAAAAATGATATTAACCCAACACCCTTCCTTAATTTATATATCAAGAGTCTGACAGGATGTTAATCACATACAAATGTTCATCTGTATAAGTTGCATTCTAACCAAGCAAAGCATACTCTGGTTACTATCACGAAACATTGTTCATTATTTTCTATTTTTAGTAGTGGTGACTGACCCGATAATCAATAGGCTTCTTCCCCTCCCCTATATCTTCATCTCTATAAGTTTCATTCTAATCAAGCAATGGAAAATGCACCAATCATTGTTAATTTTTTTCTTCTATCTTCAGTAACAGTGACCTTAACCTTGGACATTTTGACCCCCAAATAAAATGGTTTTTCTCTTCCCTATATTTTTCATGTGTATAAGTTTCATTTAAGTCAAGCATGGGAAACTCAAGTTATCACCCAGAAACAATTGTTCATTTTCTTTTCTATTTCTAGTAACAGTGATCGTAACTTTTAACCTTTTTGAACCCAAAATCAAAAGGCTTTTTCCCTCCCAACAGACCGATGGATGGAAGGACAGACAGACAGACAGATGGATGGAAGGACAGATAGACAGACGGATGAAATGGAGGATGGGAAGATGGACAACAAGACCAAAACAATTACTATATACTCCTGAAAAATAATTTTGGGAAGCATATAGAATGTGGGTATAAAATACAAAATAAAGACCCTTAAATTTACCTCTTTACAGTTTATGAGGGTAGGGTAGAGTTTCAAATGAGAGAGAAAGAGAGAGAGAAAAAAGAAAACAAGACAGTAAACAGTTTAACTGAATAAAAACATTAAACAAAGAAAGCACATTATAAAGAAGTAAGTTTGGTAAGGGTCAAAGGAGTAGGGGCAATAAGGCCCTTATTTGACCCAAATATTACTGCCAATTTAAAAGTTATCATACATATTCCAAAATTTGTCCTATCTAGACTTAGGTACAAGGTATTCAGAAAAAAACCACATATTTCACATTTAACGAGTTACCATGACAACAAGCCATGACAAAATTTGTATATTTTGTAAAATTTCTTGATTTTCCTTGTTTTTTCATCAAATTTTAAGTGTATTTTAGATTGGCAAGGTATGAGCACATCCAAGAAACAACTTTATATTTGGTGAGATTATGTCAATAGATGTAAGTAAGCTTCTCTTAAATTATTTTGTTGTTTCTTGGCTGCGCATGATGTTTCAATAATGGAAATAACGATAGAAAACTGCATAAATTCTGTATTTTTCATCATTTTCATGAAAACGGTACATATTATGACGTAATTGTGACGTCATCAGATAAAAAATCTTATGTTTTTCATTTATATTTCTTGACTCTATGCTTTTCTAAACATGTGCCAATTTGAAATAGTTTTCAAACATTTTATTTTCTTGGACCAAAACTGGGCCTTAATGCCCCTTCTCCTTTGGCCTGAATACATGTATTAAGTCTTGTTTGAAGATAAAAAATTATTTTAATTGGGAAAAAAGACATGTAAGAAAGAGAAATAGAACTTCTTTTGTGTAGCTTTTCTTATATAGGCTTAATATTTACAACCCAAATAGATCAAAAGTAGAGATTTTGATGAAAATTGACAAAATCTTCTGAATTTCTATCAATAATAAAGTACATTTAGACCTAGGAAACTTAGAGTGCAGGCTTTGACAAACTAAATATATAAATCAGATATGTAAAATGTAATAATCAACAATTTGTTGAAAGATCTTTCTCGTCAACACATGAGCTCTACGTTTCCAGTAAAAAAAAAAACAATGGAAATTGCCCGTTTTCATTATTTTTTGTGGAAAATCAACATGTGTGCTATTTGTGACGTCATGAAAAGAATGTTAATACACAAATTTTCAACAAAAAAGTTCTACCTAGTCAATTTTTATACGACCGCAAAAAAATTTTGCGGTCGTATATTGGTATGACGTTGGCGTCGTCGTCGGTGGCGTCTTCCGAAGACACATTGGTTTTCGCACTCTAACTTTAGTTTAAGTGAATGGATCTCTGACATTTTACCATAAGGTTCAATACCACAAATGGAAGGTTGGGATTGATTTTGGGGGCTTTGGTACCAACAGTTAAGGAAAAAAGGGCCAAAAGGGGCCAAAAATAAGCATTTTTGTTACTTCCAGACATAACTTGTGTGTTAGTGGATCTCTCTGACATTGTACCACAAGGTTCCATATCACAAAGGGCCAAAAAACAAGCATTTTTCTAGTTTCAGGACAATAACTTGTAAGTGTATGGATCTTTCTGAAATTGTACTACAAGGTTCCATATCAACAAGGGAAAGCTGGGATTGATTTTGGGGGTAATTGCCTCAAAATTTTAGGAATTAGGGGCCAAAAAGGGGAAAAAAACAAGCATTTTTCTAGTTTCAGGACAATAACTTGTGTGTAAGTGTATGGATCTTTATGAAATTGTACTACAAGGTTCCATATCACAAAGGGAAAGCTGGGTTTGAGTTTGGGGGTAATTGCCCTAAACGTTTAGGAATTTGGGATCAAAAAGGGGCCTAAAAACAAGCATTTTTCTAGTTTCCAGACAATAACTTGTGTTCAAGTGTATGGATCTCTCTGAAATTGTACTGCAAGGTACCATACCACAAAGGGAAGGCTGGGATTGAGTTTGGGGGTGATGAATCATAAGGGGGTTCAAAAAATTTGGGGGAGGGATTTTTTTTTCCTTTTTTTTTCTTTTAAATTTTCCATTTTAAATTGGTTATTTCTGATTTATATATAAAAGCAAATAATAATGATATGGTTTGAATAGGTAAATTAAAAAATTTTAAGTTCTTAGACCACATTCATTCTGTGTCAGAAACCTATGCTGTGTCAAATATTTAATCACAATCCAAATTCAGAGCTGTATCAAGCTTGAATGTTGTGTCCATACTTGCCCCAACTGTTCAGGGTTCGACCTCTGCGGTCGTATCAAGCTGCGCCCAGGGAGCATTTTATTTAACTATGATTCATTGTTTATTGGTCAATAATTACTAATATGAAATTTGAGCTAGAAATAAGGGCCATTTTAGAGCCTTATCGGACCTACTCCTTATGTCTTATAAACTAATGGTAGTCTTAATTTCAGTTAATGAAGGGTATTCTTACCGGGGTTCTACTGCCATCTGGTGCTGCCACATAACTCGAACCTGTGAAAGACATCAACAGAATTCAATTAAACATCAACAAAATAAAACATATTTTTGAAAAAATTATCCTTAGAATAAAGCTTCAAGCTAATAAAAATCATATTCTCATATATATGTGGATAAGTCATTGTAAGTAAACTCAAAAGAAGGTAAAAATAGTATTTTCAGGTTTAAAATGTCACTTTGGAATTTAGAAGATGATATACCTTACACTGATTCCAAAATAATAAAGTTTGTATTAATTCTATATCATATTATTGTTGACATAACAAATTTATTTATTTTGTAAAAAATATTTCCATACCCCATGTACTCCTTACAACAAAATTATTATATTTACCTGTGTAAGTTATTTTATTAAACACCATTTTGTCCAAGGTTATAGTTGTCTTTCTGATATTGTTTTACATCCCCCCCCCCTTTTTTTTTATTAATATTGTATTTACATAGTGTCATAGATCAAATTTATTAGTTCAGTTTATGTTTATTTGTTTTTGTTAAAATGTCTTTTGATTGAGTTAAGCCATTTCAATTGATATTTTATAGTGTGTCTTTCTATGTTGTGATGTTACATTCAGGTTAGGGTGTAGGTTGGCGTCTGTTAAAACGTTTTAACCCACTGCATTTGTTTGCACCTGTCCTAAGTCAGGAACCTGTTGTTCAGTGGTTGTTGCTTGTTGATGTGGTTCATAAGTGTTTCTCGTTTTTTATGTAGATTAGACCGTTGGTTTTCCTGTTTGAATGGTTTTACACTAGTCATTTTTGGGGTCCTTTATAGCTTGCTGTTCGGTGTGAGTCAAGGCTCCGTGTTGAAGGCTGTACTTTGACCTATAATGGTTTACTTTTTACAAATTGTGACTTGGATGGAGAGTTGTCTCATTGGCACTCATACCACATCTTCTTATATCTATATAAAGTTATTTTCAGTGTCAATTCAGTCATTGGACCATGATCTAGTGAGCAGGGCCTGAACATGGTCGACAAACTGAGATGTACAGACAGTAATGTAACTTTATAGAAAATATCGTTGTTTATTGTAAGTTGTTCCTATCAATACAACTTAAGCATAAAAACTTAACATTGAATATAGCTAATTAATTCAAAGTCACTGGACCATGACCTAGGGGGCAAGGCCTCAAAATTTAAATAGTTGTCAAACTGATATGTACTGATAGTAATGCAACTTTATACAAAATATTATTGACCTATCACAAGTAGTTCTTATCAAACTGATTTAAGCAGAAAAACTTAACATCGAAAATTGCTAATTTAAATTCAAAGTCACTTGACCATGACCTAGGGGGCAAGACCTCAAAATAGTCATCAAACTGATATGAACCAAATATTCTCCATGGAAATGAGATGTCCTTATGCTTACTGCATACCAATTATCATTGACCTACTACTAACGGCTTCCCTTAAACTGACCTAATCACAAACTAATATATGTAAACTAAGCAAAGTTTCAAAGTCAATAGACCATGACTGAGTGGGCAGGGCCAAATAATCTCCATGGTAATGAGATGTGCCAATGCTAATACAACTGCATACCAAATATCATTAACCTACCACTAGTGGTTCACCATAAACAAGACCTAATCACAAACTAATACATTGTTGACGCTGCTGCCGGAAACAGCATACATGTACCTATGTGTCGCTTTTTGACTCAGTCAAGGAGAGACAAAAATGGTAAAATTTTTCATTTAAGGGCAATAACTCCTATAAAAAGTCTTTAACAGTTTTGATGTAAATGGACAGTAGGTAGATCTCAACATTCTGAACATTTTTGCCTTGTCCTTGTCAAAATTTCTCTATTCAAGAAGTTTTCAATATAATAGAAAAAACTTTAATACATTTTTCCCTCTGTTCTATTTTTACCCATGTTGGTTGGCAGGTGGCGTCATTGGACACATATTTTTGTAACTTGATACATGTACTCCATGATAATTGTGGTCAAGTTTAGTTTAATTTGACCAACTTATTTAATAAAAGATTTTTAGGTAAAGTTAAAGGTTGAGGGCAATGACAGATGCCAAGTGATGGCCTAGCAAGCTAAAATAAGAGACCGGGACTCATTGTGACCTCTTCTGGCTGATACATCTTTTATCATCAATCATGCTTTATGACTATAAACTGATTACAACTTAATGAAATAAAAGTTGATCGCTATTTTATCAATATGACCTGCAGATATTTAGACAACTTACTGTAACTGTATTAGAATAATCAAGATATTTTTACTATACCAAGATATTTATTCATCCAATATATATAGTATGTCAAGAGATTACTTTTTTCCCATTTAAAATACTATGGATAAAAGTTCCCAAGAAATGACGGATAAAATTTCCTAATGACAAAATGTATTGTAAAAATAAGAGAATCAGATAAACTTACCATAGAAATGGCCAAAATCCTTGTGAGCTGAAAAAGAAATCTCTGTTTAATGTTTCCAACATGTCTAACAGATAATATTGTGAAAATCATGTGGTATAGACTGCAATGTTGACAACTGTGGCACATTCTAAAGCATGCAAAGATTGTTAACTTCATCAGAAGTCTTCCATAGCTCAGAACACTACCAAGTCTATAAGTAAATTCTTTTCAGATGTTGAGCAACTCAAGATTGTCAAGCAAGCATGTACATGTAAATAAATAATGACCCCACCACTCTTGATTGAAAAATTTATCATTTTTTAGAAAAAATTGTCCAAATTTGTTTTATATATTCAGTTAAGGTCTGCTTCAGCTTTATGGAATTTTGCCCCCCCACCCCTTTCAAAAATCCTGGATCTGCCTCATTACCCCCTTGTATCACAAAGCTTTATTTCACTTAACACCTGCAGGTTAGGTGGTTTCACTTGGAACAAGTTTTTATGTCACTGCCATATTAGAAACTTTAAAATCACAGCTGTGACCAACTGAGATCTTCAGCTCATATCTAAAAGTAAAGCTATTTTGTCACAAGGTCCACATTACTTGCCAAGGCCATGGATAGGATCTAAAGAATGTTTAACTCAATGCATTATGCTAGGTAAGTTTGAGATGAGGCCATGAATATAACTAAATATAGATGTCAAGCCAGTGACTATAGGGTTATGAATGAATTTAGTGCCAATTACACATTATGGTAAAAAAAAAGATTTAACTCACCTTTTCTTCCATCTGCTGAGGTAAATTCATTGGGAAATTCTTCCTGAAATAAAACATCTCATATTTATTGTAAGTTTCGGTATTATTAATTCCTTTTTTCCTTACTTAATATATTGACAAACTTCAATTGATCATAAAGTTTAACATAATAACATCTCAGTGAACTAGTATACATTAGTTTAGGGGTTATCTCAAGCCCGTCTCTGGGTGTGGGATTTTCTCGCTGTGTTGAAGACCCATTGGTTGCCTTAGGCTATTTTCTGTTCTTTGGTCGATTAGTTGCTCTTTGACACATTCCCCTTTTCCATAATCTATTCTAGTCAATGGGTCATGTGACAGTTGAACACAAAAATGGCAAGAAAATAAAGCATGTAGCTCCCACAAAGTCTATACAGAGAACCCTGCAATACCTGGCAGCATTATTTGTCTAAATGAAACAACACAGTTCCAATGTCTCCCACTGCAGCAAATATTTCATTTGTTCAAAGGGATTATGACTCCAATAATTTTCCATTTCAAGTGCAGTGATCATTTAGATTTCAAAGACAATGGTTATATAATCCATTGATATATATATGATTTTATCTAAAACTCAACAAGAAATGAAGGCTTGAGATTGCTTACAATTTTCCATATACATGATATAAAATGTAAAAAAATTATAATAAAAAAAGAAAATGTATATTTATAAACCAAGTAATTGCATTTTAAAAATTGTTAACCATGTGTTAACATTGGTGTTTCTATTTTAAGTCTAACACAAGCATGCATGTGTTGTCATACTTTGCTTACTCCCACTCATTATTCTAAGTTTCTGAAAATAGACCAATCCAAAAAAGGGCTTATACATTACAACTGGTCATTGTTAAGCTGCTGATCAAATACAAGTTGGTCCATTCCATAGTTACTGAGAAAATGACATGCAAATACCGATATATGATTTCATTTAACACACTGAACAATTTAAAGTATCAGCAAACAGGAAGTAGATATCTGACAGACAAAAAGACAGCAACTCATCAATATCAAGCTGCTGACCGAATATGATTTCATTGTCTTTTAGTGCTGAATCCTGAGTAAAGTGTTACTAACGGTAATATATTTATTGAACAAAACAACAAAAAAGGTTGGATAGTAACAGACAAGGTGATAACAATATATATCCAAGTGGGGGAAGAATATCAAATGCTTAAATTGTCAAATCAGGTAAAAACTTACTGTTCCCACTCTGTTAATAGCCACTGTAAAATAATGATTTGCAATGGCAGCATTTCTAGCCTCTATTGGCCACATAGGTTCACTGAAAATATAAACAGTGGCAAGAGTTAGCAATAGTGTCATTTCTAGCTTCTATTGGCCACATAGGTTCACTGAAAATATAAACAGTGGCAAGAGTTAGCAATAGTGTCATTTCTAGCTTCTATTGGACACATATAGGTTCACTGAAAATATAAACAGTGGCAAGAGTTAGCAATAGTGTCATTTCTAGCTTCTATTGGACACATATAGGTTCACTGAAAATATAAACAGTGGCAAGAGTTAGCAATAGTGTCATTTCTAGCTTCTATTGGACACATATAGATAGGTTCACTGAAAATATAAACAGTGGCAAGAGTTAGCAATAGTGTCATTTCTAGCTTCTATTGGACACATATAGGTTCATTGAAAATATAAACAGTGGCAAGAGTTAGCAATAGTGTCATTTCTAGCTTCTATTGGACACATATAGGTTCATTGAAAATATAAACAGTGGCAAGAGTTAGCAATAGTGTCATTTCTAGCTTCTATTGGACACATATAGGTTCATTGAAAATATAAACAGTGGCAAGAGTTAGCAATAGTGTCATTTCTAGCTTCTATTGGACACATATAGGTTCATTGAAAATATAAACAGTGGCAAGAGTTAGCAATAGTGTCATTTCTAGCCTCTATTGGCCACATAGGTTCACTGAAAATATAAACAGTGGCAAGAGTTAGCAATAGTGTCATTTCTAGTTTCTATTGGACACATATAGGTTCATTGAAAATATTAACAGTGGCAATAGTTAGCAATAGTGTCATTTCTAGCTTCTATTGGCCACATAGGTTCACTGAAAATATAAACAGTGGCAAGAGTTAGCAATAGTGTCATTTCTAGCTTCTATTGGACACATATAGGTTCACTGAAAATATAAACAGTGGCAAGAGTTAGCAATAGTGTCATTTCTAGCCTCTATGGGCCACATAGGTTCACTGAAAATATAAACAGTGGCGAGAGTTAGCAATAGTGTCATTTCTAGCTTCTATTGGCCACATAGGTTCATTGAAAATATAAACAGTGGCAAGAGTTAGCAATAGTGTCATTTCTAGCTTCTATTGGACACATATAGGTTCATTGAAAATATAAACAGTGGCAAAAGTTAGCAATAGTGTAATTTCTAGCTTCTATTGGCCACATAGGTTCACTGAAAATATAAACAGTGGCAAGAGTTAGCAATAGTGTCATTTCTAGCTTCTATTGGACACATATAGGTTCATTGAAAATATAAATAGTGGCAAGAGTTAGCAATAGTGTCATTTCTAACCTCTATTGGCCACATAGGTTCACTGAAAATATAAACAGTGGAGAGAGTTAGCAATAGTGTCATTTCTAGCTTCTATTGGACACATATAGGTTCACTGAAAATATAAACAGTGGCAAAAGTTAGCAATAGTGTCATTTCTAGCTTCTATTGGACACATATAGGTTCATTGAAAATATAAACAGTGGCAAGAGTTAGCAATAGTGTCATTTCTAGCTTCTATTGGACACATATAGGTTCATTGAAAATATAAACAGTAGCAAGAGTTAGCAATAGTGTCATTTCTAGCTTCTATTGGACACATATAGGTTCATTGAAAATATAAACAGTGGCAAGAGTTAGCAATAGTGTCATTTCTAGCTTCTATTGGCCACATAGGTTCACTGAAAATATAAACAGTGGCAAGAGTTAGCAATAGTGTCATTTCTAGCTTCTATTGGCCACATAGGTTCACTAAAAATATATACAGTGGCAAGAGTTAGCAATAGTGTCATTTCTAGCTTCTATTGGCCACATATAGGTTCATTGAAAATATAAACAGTGGCAAGAGTTAGCAATAGTGTCATTTCTAGCTTATATTGGACACATATAGGTTCATTGAAAATATAAACAGTGGCAAGAGTTAGCAATAGTGTCATTTCTAGCTTCTATTGGACACATATAGGTTCATTGAAAATATAAACAGTGGCAAGAGTTAGCAATAGTGTCATTTCTAGCTTCTATTGGACACATATAGGTTCATTGAAAATATAAACAGTGGCAAGAGTTAGCAATAATGTCATTTCTAGCTTCTATTGGACACATATAGGTTCATTGAAAATATAAACAGTGGCAAGAGTTAGCAATAGTGTAATTTCTAGCTTCTATTGGACACATATAGGTTCATTGAAAATATAAACAGTGGCAAGAGTTAGCAATAGTGTCATTTCTAGCTTCTATTGGCCACATAGGTTCACTGAAAATATAAACAGTGGCAAGAGTTAGCAATAGTGTCATTTCTAGCTTCTATTGGACACATATAGGTTCACTGAAAATATAAACAGTGGCAAGAGTTAGCAATAGTGTCATTTCTAGCTTCTATTGGACACATATAGGTTCACTGAAAATATAAACAGTGGCAAGAGTTAGCAATAGTGTCATTTCTAGCTTCTATTGGCCACATAGGTTCACTGAAAATATAAACAGTGGCAAGAGTTAGCAATAGTGTAATTCCTATCTTCTATTAGCCACTTTATCATAAAATATTCAAAATGCTCTATAACCAAAAGGTGCCAATGTTAATAGTGAATCCTAACTTTCTTGATCAGTGATGGCGGCCAAAGTAAATTATTCTAAAACTGGACCAAAATTGACATTATTACACAAACTGTGCATAATTAAGGGATCAAGACTTTGTTATTTATTATGTGAGGTGCCAAAAAGAAGTAATTTAGTATTATTACTAATATCACAACTACTTGTGAATTTATAGTATTTTGGCCTGCTTTAAAAAAACATTAAATTATCAATGCCAATTTTAGCCCTTCATGAACCTAATCCTTTAGAGCATACTACATGTAATATAAAGAAAGATAATCCAAATGTTTTCACAAATATTTGCTAGAGTTTATTTTTTGTTACAAAAAAGTTTGGTTTGTCTGTACAAAGGATCAAAATGTCAAAGAAACCAGAATTTGGAGTAAAAGTCTAAAATTGTCTAAACCTGTGGCTGAAAGATTAAATACAATCTCTATATACAGAGTACATGAGTACAAACATTAAAGCTCAAAACGTGGCTGAAGGATTAAATACAATCTCTTTACTCTGAGTACATGAGTACAAACCTTAAAGCTCCAACCGTGGCTAAAGGATCAAATACAATCTCTTTACATGGGGTTCATGAGTACATAACTTAAAGCTCCAACTGTGGCTGAAGGATTAAATACAATCTCTATACATGGGGTTCATGAGTACATAACTTAAAGCTCCAACTGTGGCTGAAGTATTAAATACATTCTCTATACACTGAGTACATGAGTACATAACTTAAAACTCCAACCGTGGCTGAAGGATTAAATACAATCTCTATACATGGGGTTCATGAGTACATAACTTAAATTCCAACCGTGGCTGAAGGATTAAATACAATCTCTATACACTGAGTGCATGAGTACATACTTTAAATCTCTTACCGTGACTGAAGGATTAAATACAATCTCTATACACTGAGTGCATGAGTACATACTTTAAAGCTCCAACCGTGGCTGAAGGATTAAATACAATCTCTATACATGGGGTTCATGAGTACATAACTTAAAATTCATACCGTGGCTGAAGGATTAAATACAATCTCTATACACTGAGTGCAAGAGTACATACTTTAAAGCTCTTACCGTGACTGAAGGATTAAATACAATCTCTATACATGGGGTACATGAGTACATAACTTAAAGCTCCAACCGTGGCTGAAGAATTAAATACAATCTCTTTACACTGAGTGCATGAGTACATACTTTAAAGCTCTTACTGTGACTGAAGGATTAAAAACAATCTCTATATATTGAGTACATGATATAAAAAAGAAGATGTGGTATGATTGCCAATGAGACAACTCTCCACTAGAGACCAAATGACACAGAAATTAAGTACATACCTTAAAGTTCCAACTGTGGCTGAAGGATTAAAAACAATCTCTATACACTGAGTACATGAGTATATAACTTAAAGCTCCAACAGTAGCTGAAGGATTAAATACAATCTCTATACACTGAGAACATGAGTACATACCTTAAAGCTCCAACCGTGGCTGAAGGATTAAATACAATCTCTATACACTGAGTACATGAGTACATACCTTAAAGCTCCATCCATGGCTGAAGGATTAAATACAGTCTCTATACACTGAGTACATGAGTACATACCTTTAAGCTCTAACCGTGGCTGAAGGATTAAATACAATCTCTATACACAAGAGTACATGAGTACATACCCCAAAGCTCCAACCGTGGCTGAAGGATTAAATACAATCTGTATACACTGAGTACATGAGTACATACCTCAAAGCTCCAACGGTGGCTGAAGGATTGAATACAATCTCTATACACTGAGTACATGAGTACATACCTCAAAGCTCCAACCGTGGCTGAAAGGATTAAATACAATCTCTATACACTGAGTACATGAGTACATACCTCAAAGCTCCAACCGTGGCTGAAGGATTAAATACAATCTCTGCACCATTAATACCATACATCATCCAATTCAAGGGATGATGTCGTCCATAACAAATGTTTATACCAATTTTACCTGTAAACAATCAAAATCATACATAATTTTTCATGTTAAAAATACAAATCATATATAATTTTACCTGTAAACAATTACAAATTGTACATAATTCAACCTGTAAACAATTACAAATTGTAGATAATTTTACTTGTCATTTCTTATAAACAATTACAAATTGTGTATTATTTTACCTGTTGCTAATGAAAGTAAATCCAGTGAAGGGTTTTGGATACATAACATTTATAAAGTGATAGTGTTTGAGACCTGCATTGCAATGTGGTATGGGACAAAAACGCTACATTAGGCTTAAATTAAAATATTGTTTGTTTGCAGTTTACCGACCGACCCTCGAAAATCCGCCCGACTGTGAAAATTTTATTGCTTTTAATTTGAAGAAATTATTTTTTATTTTTCTATTGACACAATCCGGAACTTCTGGTCGTTTCTGGAATTGATTTAAAGTCTGGGTCGATTACACGTTTCAAGTTCGGTTTTTCTTACCTTCTTGTCATGCGTATATGGGACCGTTTAATAATAAAGCACATGGAGATTGTTTACAGGTATCGATGAAGACATGGAGGAGTACTTTGCGCTGTCGTTTTCTGTCAATTTTAAAACAAATAACAACCAAAAAAGTTTAATAGTAAACTGTTTTTACAGATTCAGACAGATATCATTGATGATTTGAGAACGCATGATGCAGCGGATATTCATAAAACCGACACGATAACCATTTCAATCTCAAACAGATCAGGTACAGAATCTCTTGAGCCTGACTTTATGGAACCAATATCAGTGGTTAAAAAAATTTGACAGCAGCCTGAAGTATGCCATAGTTTCTATAAAACGTTGTGAAGACAACAAGGATGAAACCACTTCTCCATGACTTCATGGATACCTGTAAACACGCCAGGAAGGGCGCATTTGAAATTTATAATCGATAGACAATGCCAAATCTATAAGAAGCCACAGAAACTACACAAAGATGTAAAGAAAATGATTAGTTGGCTTGTAAAAATAAATATACTTTCTCTATGTTAAATCTATCTTCTATTGCAATGAGTATGCTCCTTTAGGATAAGGGGAGCTACCCTACTCATTGCAATTCTTCTCCCTCTTACAATATTAAATATACCCAAACAGTGTGGCTTGTGTGAATTGAATTAAAACATGTCCTTAGGAGCTATGCTGCCAATTTTTTATGCAGTCAAAACATTTCAGTACAGACCATTTACTTTTAAAGGAGTGCTATTGATTTCACCCTGAAGTCTAAGATTTTTTTGGTTTTAATTAAAGCCTGATCACATCAAAATATCTTTCAAAATATAACCTTATTACATATAATTAAATATTGTTAGATTTATGAAAACAGTCCGATGTCAAATATATTTTTTCAAGTTTCCTTTTTTTTTTAATTGAGAAAGATTCAATGGTTAATTTTTTTTATTGATAACACTCTTACATTGTCTTATGAATCTTTGATATCTACATTTTCCTAATGAAAATACTCTACTCATGAAAACTTTCTAGTAAAGAAGCATATGTCAGTGAACAATTTCTTTAAAACAATTCTAGTCATTCCTTGTTTATAAGATCTTATAAGTGTTCCAGTACTAGTATTTAATAATGTCATAAATTGGATAATCACACCATGTTTATATAGTTTCAATTTTGGTTGAAAAGTTTTTATCTGAAAATGCCTTATCGTGTACTTGGCTGGGGGACTATGGTAAGAACCAAGTAACGAGTCTACAAATAAACTGTACTTCACACTTTACTTCTTTTAATTTTTAATACAAGGCCATGCTACTGCACTGGCAGACGACAACTAACTTAATAATTAATAGCTAAAAACATGTTTCACCTTTTCCGACATAAGAGATAAATTGTGTGAGGCAGTCCCGATAACCAGAAGACCCAAAATAGGAATATAACAGCCTGTTCATTTCATGTTGGTTTTCAGTGTTTGTTGTTTTAAAAAAAAATTCTTCACAATAAACTTGGTTTGTGTAACTGCTTGTTTAAACTTCATTTTGGCTGATAAAATAAAATATTTTTCCTACCTACCGACCCTTCAGTCTGAAGGTACAGTCGGAAAACTGCAAACAAACATATTTTTAAGGTTGGCCTTATAAAAGATGACATTTTGAATTTCAGATCTGAACATTGTTAAAACACAAAATTGATCTAAAACAGTAGAGAGAGCTGAAAGAAGTAAGAAGCCTGAAGTGAACTTTTTAGGGTTAGCAATTTAGATATTCATCACTTCTAAGGGGCCACAATTGTTTTATTATACCAATCTGACAGTGGGAAGGCCATTAAACCATCAAAAAAGATTTGTATACTATAGTAAATGATTGTAGGAACACTTGCATTGGAAAATTATTTTGTGTCCAAGAATTTCTCCTATGTCATGTATGTATAACAAAGTTAGACTTGTTCTGTAAAATATTGATGGCCCTGAAAAGGACTTCTTATGAGAGATATCCTCTGCACTAGATGAATTCCAAGCCTTGTTCATTGTTGTTTGATCTTGTTTTCTCGTCACTTTATTGACTTTTAACCTGGCCTTTGCCCTTTTGTTTACATACACTGTGACATCATTTTGATGGGAGATAACTTTTGTACAAATAAAGAAGCTCAAAAGGTAATGTGAATAATAGTCTTATTCAATGCATGGTGTAAATTTTTAGAGTTATTCATCCTTCCTTGCATTTTAATGAAAATTAACTGAATTATTCCCTCTCACTTGATAATGTGTTATTGTTTAACATATATGTAAGGTATAATAATGATAATAACTGCAGTATTTAGAGTCAAACACTATTCTTGCAGTATCAAGAGTACGTTTAACTTACCGAACTGTGTATCAAATACTTTATGTCCAGTATTGCCCTCCATATAATAGGTTGACTGAAAAATAAATAATCAATACAAGTATTTATATACATAATAAATAAATGAATAAAATAAATGTCAGCTTTAGCCCTCACCTAGTAATTTTATTTATCTTATTAGGGGATCTAAATCATAAATGAAGGTCAAGGTCATCCATTTGGTATTGACCTCCTTCGTTTCTAAAAATGATGCATCAAGTGCTAGCAAACTCCAAACAATTGGGTAAGGGTATAATTGATTAGTAGATAAATACTTAATTTATCTCAAAATATAAATTGAATTATTGTTAATTCAGTTAGTCAAGTTAAAGTACATTTCCTGTTTTATAATGATACTTGCTTGTGCTAACTTATAATGTTTAACAATTTCTTGTGTTATAATGTTTAATAATTTCTTGTGCTAACTTATTATGTTCAATAATTTCTTGTGCTAACTTATAATGTTTAACAATTTCTTGTGCTAACTTATGTTTAATAATTTCTTGTGCTAACTTATAATGTTTATTATTAGTCGTCCCACTATCTATATCACTCTGCTCAGCTCTTAATAAAACAACATATCACAGCTTTGTGATGTCATATACATTGACCTGGCATTAACAACTTTGACCTGGACATATCAACAACGTCATAATGTATAAACCGACGTTAATAAGTTTGACCCGAACTTATCAAGACATCTCCCGGGTTGCTGGTGAAACAAAGAAAACACTTATTTCTTTCATGCAAAATACGCAAATACAACCTAATTAATCGATTATCTGGTCATCTGCATATTGGTATTGTAAAATATAAGCTGCTCGACACAATATGAAGCCTTTTTGAACTCGTTCGCTGCCCTCACTCGACAAAAAGCTTCATATTGTGACTCGCAGCTGATATTTTCAGTATCAATATGCAGACAACCTGATAATCGGTACATAATTTCATGTGCTAACTTATAATATTTAATAATTTCATGGGCTAACTTATAATGTTTAATAATTTCTTTGGCTAACTTATAATGTTTAAGCACAACAAAGTCTTGTGCTAACTTATCATGTTCAATCACAATAAAATCTTGTGCTAACTTATCATGTTTAATCACAATAAAATCTTGTGCTAACTTATCATGTTTAATCACAATAAAATCTTGTGCTAACTTATCATGTTTAATCACAATAAAATCTTGTGCTAACTTATCATGTTTAATCACAATAAAATCTTGTGGTAATGTTTAATCATAATAAATTCTATTGCTGACTTATTTAATATGTTTAATCATAATAAATTCTATTGGTAACTTATTATGTTTAATCATGATAAACCCTTGTACTAACTGATTATGTTTACTTCTTATTAAAGTTTAATTGGATTGTTTTCTGACCTCATTAAAGTCTCCTACTCTTGGTATATGATTTTTCCTAGACTTCCCTAAGTACTGCCCTGTGTTAGAGATCACCACTGAAATGGAAAAACAAGTACTTTATGTATACATATTGTAAAATGCTCACCATCTAAGAGGATAGAATTCTCAAGAGAGGGGAGATAATTACCTTTTTGTTCTACCTCCATGATTAGCATTTCAGAATAAATAACTTCAAAGACAGGGGAGATAATTACCTGTTAGTTCTATGATTACCATCTCAGAGGAAACTAGACATCATTGAGATGGGAGCTATGTCTGTGGGCCCCGCTGACCTTGAACTTTGACCTAGGAAGTTGTACAAACATTATGACACATCCTCTGGTGTTGGTTAATATACATGTCAAGTATAAAGTATAAAATCATAACGGTTCTCTAGATATAGAGCGGACACAATTTGTTACGGACTGACGGACGGACAGACTGATCACTATAGGGCGACCCGCCTAGGTGGGGCCATAATAACTTTCAAGACAGGAGAGATAATTACCTTTTCATTCTACAACCATGATCACCATCTAAGAGGAAATAACTTTCAAGACATTGCTGACAAGGGAGATAATTACTTGTTTGTTCTACCACCATGATCACCATCTTAGAGGAAACAACTTTCAAGACAGGGGAGATAATTACATGTTAGTTTTACCACCATGATCACAATCTCAGAGGAAATATCTTTCAAGACAAGGGAGATAATTATCTGTTAGTTTTACCACCATGATCACTATCTAAGAGGATAGAACTTTCAAGACAGGGGAGATAATCATATGTTAGTTTTACCACCATGATCACAATCTCAGAGGAAATAACTTTCAAGACAAGGGAGATAATTGTCTGTTAGTTTTATCACCATGATCACTATCTAAGAGGATAGAACTCTCAAGACAGGGGAGACAATTACCTGTTCGTTCTACTACCATATGATAAGCATCTCAGAGGAAATAACTTTCAAGACAGGGGAGATAATTACCTGTTAGTTCTACAACCATGATCAGCATCTAAGAGGATAGAACTCTCAAAACAGGGGAGATAATTACCTGTTCGTTCTACCGCCATGTTTAGCATCTCAGAGGAAATAACTTTCCAGACAGGGGAGATAATTATCTGGTTATTTCTACAACCAAGATCAGCATCTTAGAGGATAGAACTCTCAAAACAGGGGAGATAATTACCTGGTTGTTCTACCACCATGATAAGCATCTCAGAGGAAATAACTTATTTGATTTGAACTATCATTGAGTTTGTCAACCAGCCTCTGAATTAAACAACACTTTTTTTTTCTAAGGACTAAGGTGGTATAAAAATTTTCTTGAAAGTGATAATTAGTGCACCTGATCCAGATTTTTATCATTCTGACATACTGGCAGAGGAGTACAACTCAAAAGTTCCTAACTAGCTTTGCACTTGTTTTCAATCTCTCTATTAATCAGGAGATGAAAACGTGATCACAGGAAAAATTTTGATTGGCTAATGATCACTGATTATGATTGTTTCCTTTGAGAAAAGTTTAAAATGGGGAACAAAACAAAAAATTTGAGTGAAGATTTTCACAAATCAGGTTTTAGGGCTATTTTCACAATCAGGATTTTGTAATCAGGACAAGAGGTTTATATATATATCGTGTAGTGCATGCCATAGTCCTATAAGTTGGCAGGTATGAAGATGAAAAGGAAGAAGAGAAAGACAACAATTTTCTATAAAAAAAATGTGACAAGCCAAAGATGTGTATTACCTGCTGTGTTAGCTAAAATGTCTCCATGATCAGCATCACACTCCAGTATAGGGGACACTATAACCATGTTGTATTTACCTGCTGTGTTAGCTAGAATATCTCCATGATCAGCATCAGGCTCCAGTATAGGGGACACTATAACCATGTTGTATTTACCTGCTGTGTTAGCTAAAATGTCTCCATGATCAGCATCACGCTCCAGTATAGGGGAAACTATAACCATGTTGTATTACCTGCTGTGTTAGCTAGAATATCTCCATGATCAGCATCACGCTCCAGTATAGGGGACTCTATAACCATGTTGTATTACCTGCTGTGTTAGCTAGAATATCTCCATGATCAGCATCACGCTCCAGTATAGGGGACACTATAACCATGTTGTATTACCTGCTGTGTTAGCTAGAATATCTCCATGATCATCATCACGCTCCAGTATAGGGGACACTATAACCATGATAACCATGTTGTATTTACCTGCTGTGTTAGCTAGAATATCTCCATGATCAGCATCACGCTCCAGTATAGGGGACATTATAACCATGTTGTATTTACCTGCTGGGTTAGCTAGAATATCTCCATGATCAGCATCACGCTCCAGTATAGGGGACACTATAACCATGTTCTATTTACCTGCTGTGTTAGCTAGAATGTCTCCATGATCAGCATCACGCTCCAGTATAGGGGACACTATAACCATGTTGTATTTACCTGCTGTGTTAGCTAGAATATCTCCATGATCAGCATCACGCTCCAGTATAGGGGACACTATAACCATGTTGTATTACCTGCTGTGTTAGCTAGAATATCTCCATGATCAGCATCAGGCTCCAGTATAGGGGACACTATAACCATGTTGTATTTACCTGCTGTGTTAGCTAGAATATCTCCATGATCAGCATCACGCTCCAGTATAGGGGACACTATAACCATGTTGTATTTACCTGCTGTGTTATCTAGAATATCTCCATGATCAGCATCACGCTTCAGTATAGGGGACATTATAACCATGTTGTATTACCTGCTGTGTTAGCTAGAATATCTCCATGATCAGCATCACGCTCCAGTATAGGGGACACTATAACCATGTTGTATTTACCTGCTGTGTTAGCTAGAATATCTCCATGATCAGCATCACGCTCCAGTATAGGGGACACTATAACCATGTTGTATTTACCTGCTGTGTTAGCTAGAATATCTCCATGATCAGCATCACGCTCCAGTATAGGGGACACTATAACCATGTTGTATTTACCTGCTGTGTTATCTAGAATATCTCCATGATCAGCATCACGCTTCAGTATAGGGGACATTATAACCATGTTGTATTACCTGCTGTGTTAGCTAGAATATCTCCATGATCAGCATCACGCTCCAGTATAGGGGACACTATAACCATGTTGTATTTACCTGCTGTATTAGCTAGAATATCTCCATGATCAGCATCACGCTCCAGTATAGGGGACACTATAACCATATTGTATTTCTTTGCCAGCTGAAAAAAGTTTTAATAATATATATTGACTATTTACATGTATGGTTTTGAAAACAAAAGGAAGATTCTTAACTAAAATCTCATCAAAGGGCAAGAAACTTCCTCAAGTTGAAAGACAATAGAAGTCTGTTTATCGATCTGGTTTTTTTAAGGCAACTTCAATGATGTTGGTTAACATTTGTTCTCACATAACTTGACTAAGAAAAAACTTTCTCAGTTCGGTTGCTTGAGTTATTATCATGCAAAAAAATCAAAGCAAAATTTAAGAAATAAACATTAATAAATTTATACCTAGAAATTATTTATAAAAGATCAAACTAGAGAATAAAAAACATACAATATTACATAGGATGGCCTGTCATGGTTGACAATTTAAGAAGTATTAGACATGTTGGTTGTTGCTTTACTTCCCTAGACACTTATTTACATTTTGTAGGTCATCAGATCTTAAAATGAACTCAGGCATAAAATTCCTCATCAGTAACAAAGATGAAAGCTTAATCAAAGCCACTCAGCTGTAAAATAAGTGATAAGTACCGTCCATCTAATGGCACAAGGTCAGAATATCTTCCAAAGATGCATTTGCACACTAAATTAAATAGCTGTTGGTCTTCAACCTGGTTTTGGAGGCAGCCACAATAGCAGAAGTAAATACTCCGAAAATCCCCGTAATTTTGGTTGAGACAAAGAATAAACTGTTGACACAGAGATGTGTCTCGCCTGTTGTCAAAAATTTGAAAAAATGTGAATCTGATGGACAGCAACATTGCTTATTAATTCAAAGTCGCTGGACCATGACCTAGAGTCAGGGCCTCAAAATTGTTGTCAAATTGATATAAACTGATAGTAATGCAACTTTACAGAAAGTATCATTACCTATCACAAGTAGTTCCTATCAAACTGACTTAAGCAGAAAACTTAACAATTGTTGATGCCACTGCCGCTGGCAAAGCAACACCTATGCCTCGCATTTCGTGAATTTCGTCGCTGACGATACAAAAACTCTAATGATTACTGAAAATTTAGGATTTATCTGCTATTCAGATTTTTTAGTTTATATCATGTTTATGAAGAAAGTAGATAATTTATACCTCCTGTCACATTTTATGTGGAAGGGGGAGATAATTCACACATCTTGTAACATTTTATTTGGAAGGGGGGAGATAATTCACACCTCTTGTAACATTTTATGTGGAAGGGGAGACAATTCATACCTATTGTGACATCTTTTTTGGGAAAGGAATGTTGAAGGGGGAGATAATTCATACCTATGGTGATATCTTTTTGGGGAAGGGAGATAATTCACACCTCTTGTAACATTTTTGTGTGGAAGAGGAAGATAATTCATACCTATGGTGATATCTTTTTGGGGAAGGGAGATAATTCATACCTCTTGTAACAATTTTGTTGTAGCTCCATCTTCTGCTGATTCAGCAAATTCACACCATGGGTGTTTCTCACGTGTACAGAAGGCAAATGGCATTGCTGTAAAATAAATGTGTGATTTTAATTTCCCAACAGCTTACTTTTGGTAAAAACTTGTCATAAATCAAAAAATTTCTGACACTTATCTTTTGGCAATAAAATATTCAAGTAGTTATATATATTCAAGCCATGGTAAGAAAACATTCAAAAATATATATGCCAATAATACTTTTTCACTTCAACTCTTATTGAGCAATTTCGCAAGGTTCTTGTACAATGTATTATCATTTTTGTATTTTGATATAAGTTGGATTATATTTTGCATTTTGTAATTAATAGTAATACATAAAAGTTGATTACCCTGCTCATGTAAAGAAAAACTCCATAGAAAAGTTTAACACTGTCTCTTGCCAAATTCAACATACATTTAAAAACATGGTGAATATTGGTAGCACCTAAGACAAAGTATTGTCCTCTGTTTCACTACAAAAGCACAAAACAAGTTTTTTTCTATTTCTAGACATGCTGAATAGTTAATTTTGCTCAACATTTTATTGTTCAAATTAGCATTCCCAGGATAGGGTATGACATCATAATACTAACAAAACTGAAAATAACGGGACATTTCTTAACCTTTTACTTGACACAGTTATCTACCCTGATTTTTTCAACTTACTCCATGCTTCTTGTAAACAAATGACATTGACACCACATAAACTGGCCATCTCTATAATCTCTGATATTCTGTTGTGTAGAGATTCAACCTGAAACAGAAACCAGGACAATAGAAACACAACTTATAAACTTGCCATTTCTCTTCATATGTATCTAATATATACTGTTATGTTAAGATTCATATACTGTTATGTTAAGATTCAATCTCTTACAGAAATCAGATAGCATCAAAAACATAAAAAGGTAATAGGCAAACTTACACCACATACATAGTGCTCAGTGTTAACACCACATACATAGCGCTCAGTGTTAACACCACATACATAGTGCTCAGTGCTAACACCACATACATAGTGCTCAGTGCTAACACCACATATATAGTGTTCAGTGCTAACACCACATATATAGTGTTCAGTGCTAACACCACATATATAGTGCTCAGTGTTAACACCACATATATAGTGCTCAGTGCTAACACCACATATACAGTGCTCAGTGTTAACACCACATACATAGTGCTCAGTGTTAACACCACATACATAGTGCTCAGTGCTAACACCACATATACAGTGCTCAGTGTTAACACCACATACATAGTGCTCAGTGCTAACACCACATATATAGTGCTCAGTCCTAACACCACATATATAGTGCTCAGTGCTAACACCACATATATAGTGCTCAGTGCTAACACCACATATATAGTGCTCAGTGTTAACACCACATATATAGTGCTCAGTGCTAACACCACATATATAGTGCTCAGTGTTAATACCACATATATAGTGCTCAGTGTTAACACCACATATATAGTGCTCAGTGCTAACACCACATATATAGTGCTCAGTACTAACACCACATATATAGTGTTCAGTGTTAACACCACATATATAATGCTCAGTCCTAACACCACATATATAGTGCTCAGTGTTAATACCACATATATAGTGCTCTGTGCTAACACCACATATATAGTGCTCTGTGCTAACACCACATATATAGTGCTCAGTGCTAACACCACATATATAGTGCTCAGTGATAACACCACATATATAGTGCTCAGTGTTAACACCACATATATAGTGCTCCGTGCTAACACCACATATATAGTGCTCCGTGCTAACACCACATAGATAGTGCTCCGTGCTTACACCACATATATAGTGCTCAGTGCTAACACCACATATATAGTGCTCAGTGCTAACACCATTCACACTTTATTTTCTGCTGTTTGCAAAAGCTCGCAATTTGATACCCTTGCTCCCTATACACACTTGAAAAGAATAATCTAATATGCAACTGCAAAGTCCATGTTTGGTACATAGAAATAATGAGTAAAAAGTAAAATAGGAATTGCCAATAAATGCCATATGTCATGTCGAAATATTACCTGTTTTGATACAGACTTTGTGGTAGGCAGTTCATGGTTTAAATCTTACGTGTTTTGATACAGGCTCTGTAGTAGGCATTTTATGGATCTAACCTTCAGTCAGGGGTGCTACTTGTACAAGTAATTTTTATTTACTTGAAGAAGTAAGTATTAATATACTTATATAAGTAAATTTGTAGGATACTTATACAAGTGTATTTTATTTAATTTACTTGTATAGGTAAAAAAAAATGGGCTTAGTTATGTCCCTTAGACATTCAGATTTTTTTACTTATACAAGTAAAAAAGTCAGCCTATCTTCTTTTCTTGAATTCTTAGGACTTCTTTGCTCTAATAGAATTTTTGATTGTCTGTCCTTTGCAGATGTCTTTACTAATCATTTAAGTGTAATTTCATGGACAATGAAAATCTTATTTGTCTTTTATCTTCAGAACACTGCTCATTTACAAGCCCCCAAGGGGCAATTTTTGAAGGCCTTGTGCAATTACTTAAGATCTTTGCTCAATCAGTTTCTTTGTTGAATTAATGAGATGAAACATTGAACTCTAATCAAACATTATGAGCTAACCTGAGAAAAATTGTTAAAGTCATGTTTATACATCTCAAAACTTGAGAATTTTTGTAGGATTGTAAAAAAAAATTACTTATACAAGTAAATTTTTGAGAAAATTAAGGGGAGATTATTCAAACATAATTAACTTCTATAAGTAGATTTTATTTACTTCTTCAAGTAAATAAAGATTACTTGTACAAGTAGTACCCCTGACTGACCCTACCTGTTTTGATACAGACTCTGTAGTAGGCAGTTCATGGATCTAACCTTACCTGTTTTGATACAGACTCTGTAGTAGGCAGTTCATGGATCTAACCTTACCTGTTTTGATACAGACTCTGTAGTAGGCAGTTCATGGATCTAACCTTACCTGTTTTGATATAGACTCTGTAGAAGGCAGTTCATGGATCTAACCTACACTGTTTTGATACAGATTTTGTAGTAGGCAGTTCGTGGATCTAACCTTACCTGTTTTGGTACAGGCTCTGTAGTAGGCACAATAATCTGATTTTGTATAGCACCAATTCTGACTACTCTTGGTGGACGGAGAGATTCTTTTTCTGCAGTAAAACAACTGCCTTTTACTTCAAACTGTCTTTTATCTGCCAAATCTCTGGCCTCCTTTGGAAACTCTAGTTGTCTGTGTAAAACATTAACAAAATTAATTTGGTTTTGACCCTATAACATGTATAAGGGTTTTCAACATGTTCAAGATAGACAGTCAGGGGACTTATTGAAATAAGTGATTTTAAATCACTTATTTCAGTAGCAAATTCAAAGTTTTGTCACAAACACATGCAAATTGTGATTTTGTAGTTTTACCAAAATTTTAAACACATAGGTTTAGATAATATCATTTCATTAGTAAAATTGAAAAAAATAAACTTTTTGCTTCTTTTAAGCAGCAAGGTTTATGCCTTTGATGCAATCATTAAGCTGCAAATTCTATTTTAGTTAAAGAAATGCTATAAAAATGGCTTTACATAATGAACAATGAACTGATACTTTCTTAACAGATTTTTCCCAGCATTGTGAGTATTTTTCCTGTAAAATTCAAGGTTTCATCTTATAGATTATGTAATAAAATTCTACTGTTCGCCATCAAAATTTCACTGTTCGGGGGTGTTGAAATTAGTCAGTCAAGGGTGTAACTTGAATAAGTTATTAGAGAAAAATAACATACATGTGTTATTACGGGTACTTTCTCTTAATCTGTAGTAACATATGTTTGTTATCAGTTAAATGTACCATAAAATTTTTTATTTTCAGTGGGTACTTGGGAATTCTTGAAACTTGCGCAGTAACTTAAAACATAACCTTGAAAACTTATTTTCAAATTCAATTAATACATTTTTGATCAACCATGGTAAATCAATGAGACAAGGCTTTTAAGTCAATAAGTGATAACTTCCTTAGCTGTAATAACAAGGCTTAGTTATTACAGGCATTTAACTTATTACATGAGACACTTGGGAATGACTAGGAAGCTTGCTCAGAACCTCATTACATGCTCTTATCATTATTTATTACAATAAATAAATACATTAATATTGTGATATATATAGGAGAAAAGGCTTTGAAGAGATGTAGAGAAGCTGTAATAACACCCTTTAGTTATTACAGGCATATTTTTTCTGTAATAACATGGGTGTGTCATGCATGATTGGCATACTATGGGCTGTTATATCTTTCTATCGTTTAGTATACATAAAGCATTGCAAAGACAATAATAATATCAATAGAACTAGTACACAATTTAACAAAATAAAGGATGTATAATGCCCCTTTGAAACATGTAACATACATATGTTATCACAGATTTTTGATTTTTCAGCCCTCAATAACAAATGTATGTTATTTTTCTCTAATAACTTATTTAAGTTAGACCCTTAACTGTTAGTGGGGGTTATTAAAATAATGATACTTAAAGAAGTGATTTTTTGGAAGGAAATTGAGGTATGATACTTAAACAAGTGATTTTTATGTCATTATCCTAGATTTAGTACAAGGTCATCACCTGACATGACCTGGTCATTCCTATCAACACAGATATTGGTTCTGATAATTTTAGCAACATAATTAGTCCCTGGATCATCAGTATTCTATATTTAAAGCTACAATAAAATTAAATCACTTAGTCTAGTGATTAATTTGTACTACTTAAATAGGTGATTATCAAAGAAAGACAACTCTTACTTCCAACCTTTATGGACATAATGTTACTTGAATCAGTGATTTAGAAAATCACTCATTTAAGTAATTCCCCTGACTGATAGAAGGCAAAACTTGCATTTCACCCCTATGTTCTAATTTAGCAATGTTACCAATGTTATTTGCAGATGCTGATCCAGCATTTTGAAAAAGGGGGGCCCAGGTGCCCCCAAAGTAGCCAACTTTTGTAGTGGAAAAGGTAAAATGTCTGAATTATCCATTAATGTAGCTCCATAAGGGGGCGCCTAGGCACTCTGGCCTCTTCCTCTATAAATCCATCTCTTTTAAAATTAAATACATCATAGATGAATTTAGCCAAATTAGGGTAAGTTTGCAAAACAGTTTTAGAGAAGATTTTTCTAAACTTTAACAGGCAACAACTGATGTCAAACACCAAATGATTGGAAATGTTTATAGGACCTCTGGGCCAATTGTTCCAACAGTGCAGGATTTAATTTGAAAATTTAAATACTGTTCACCTTTTAGAGTATACTAGTTAGCTTATGTTAAGACGAGATCTCTGCAACAGCACAACCTCGTGAAGAGCCGATTGACTTCTTTTGGACCATCGGATTGTCAGACTATTTGTCCTTCTGACTAATAAGGGACTGTCAAACTATCTGACCTTCTGACTACTTGGCTGTCTGAATTTCCTGGATAAGGATTATAGCTATGATCCTAAATATATATAATGTCTGGATTTTCCAAGACTTCTTCGTCCAGGTATTAAGGAACCAGATTCGACATTTGAATGTGACTGGTTCTGCGTGAAAGGTTTGTGCAAAGTCCAGCAAAATTAAAATTGAGAATGGAAATGGGGAATGTGTCAAAGAGACAACAACCCGACCAAAGAGCAGAAAACAGCCCAAGGCCACCAATGGGTCTTCAATACAGCAAGAAAATCCCACACCTGGAGGCATGCTTCAGCTGGCCCCTAAACAAAAATGTGTACTAGTTCAGTGATAATGGACGTCATACTTAACTCCAAAATATATAAATGAACTAAAATTAAAAATCATACAAGACTAACAAATTAAGATTCGTTTCCCTCCCTCTTCCAATTAGTAACTGATGTTTTGCATTACATTTACGGTAAAGTTGAATTAGAACACGCATTAAATCAGATTTTACCTAAGTTCTTTTCCATACAGAATTCTCCACACATCTGCCAACTCTTGAGGTGGGACATTCTTTTGTAATGATTTCTCCAAGCTTTCTAACTCAGCAGCCATGGTTTTGAATTCACACGTTGACAGAGAAGATGAATGAACCAAAGAGGTTCCGAGAAGCTGCGATATGTTTACATTTTACAAAAGGGGTGTTTATTATTTATCTACGCTCAAATCACCAGTAATTGCAAATAAAAACGCATTTATTAAAAAAAAAAAAGATAAATCAACAATGAAACAATTGAAATCAAACGAGAGAGATATATTTAAAAAAAATTATTAACTAAATTTTGTCTGAAGAGAAATATTTTCATACCTGCTGAAAATGAATTCGACCAATCCGGGAAAATACAAAAATAGAAACAGATGAGATGGTAAAGTAAGATGAAAAGATGAATACGAATTTCGGAAAGACTTCTTTATGAATCCCACTTATTGGACATAGACAAACACGAAAAGGGGGCGGGGTCAAGCACATGTCTCTTTGGAAATGTAACCCCTTTTTCTAACAGTTTTTTCTTGTGTTACAAAAAATGTATATTATTTTTGAGTACTGTAAACTGGGAAATTTTCGCGGCAGTTTTATTTTCGCTATTTTCGCGGAACGAAGTGAAACGCGAAAATAAAACGACCGCGAAATTTTCAAGCAAATTCTATTCATAAGATAAAAACCATACATGTAAGTATATGATAGGATATGTAGAGGACCACTGTATAACATCTATTTTACAGACGACAGATCTATACCTCAAATTTTAACTGTATTTCTAAATGAAAACCAATGTTAGAAATCATGACTTCTTTTCTTCGTATAAGCTTCCTCTGTTAGGAACACCCCTCGTTTAAGGGTAATATGGATAAAAAGTCTTTAACTATGTACACACTCCGTGAATATATATACACTTGCTAAAATTTAAAATAGACTAAGTTTCTAAGTTGAGTGATAATTGTCAACAGCCATTACACACTTATCAGTTTTAGTCTCGAGTTATGCATCTTGTAGCACATATCTCTTGTGAGCATTTCTAGTTCTTCTATTTTGAGCTTGCTTTCACTAAATATATATGTGAAGTTTGTACAGTCAATTATAAGGACTGTAATTTTATGTCTATCAATGAATGTCTCTTTCCACTTCATTTCTCCAATGAATTTGGTTATATAAGTTTTTATTGGGTTGAAAGTTTCTTTTCTTGTCTCACTTAATGCTGAGCAGGTAGTAAGCATATGAATAAGGTCTTCTGGTTCTTGGTTGCACATTTGACAAGTTGGAGTAATTTCATATCTGCTGAATTTATGCCGATCAGCTTGTAATGTATACGTTCGTGTCATCATCCTACTTTTGATTATACCTTTTCGAACATCAAGGATTGTAGGTTGCAATGTGGTGTAGGAGATATGCGGCTTTCCATTCTTAATTTGGTTTATAGATAGATATTTAAGTGATGTCTTTTGGACTGTGTCAATTTGAAGAGCCTTATTCCAGTAATTTGACATATTAAAATTCACTAATGTTTTCCACTTATTTTTAGTAGGCAGACTGCTTTGGAGTTCCCATATATTTGGAAGCTTGTACAATTGTAGGGTTTCCATTGCACAAAAGAAGAAGCTTTTTGGATTGTCAAAATTGATTGATGATTGGCGTTGTACAAGATCTTGAATAGTTTGGTTTTTAGCCGATAATAAAGAGTAGAGCATAGATAGTTGCCGCTTGTGAAGCTCTCCTTCAACTGGTATTGCTCCTAAGAGTAGATATATTGCTGATGTAGCTGTTCTTTGTGGCAGAGATTGAATATGTCTCAAGGTATTTTTATGAAATTTTTCTAGTATTTCAATTTGTCCTTTTGTAAGTGGTAGTATTTCTAAACCATATAAAAGTCTTGGGAGAATATATGTCTTATAGATGTTATATCCTGTAATTGGGTCAACCCCATTTGTTCCATGAAGACCGGAGCTCATTAAGGAGTATTTTGTTCTTCTTGCTAATTTAATGCGGTCATCAATGTTAATTTCATTTTCTCTTTTGTTTGTTCTTTGAAGACCTAAATGTGTTGTGGCATCTGTTGGTTCTATAGTTTTTCCTTTTAATACCCAACTGTTATCTGTTTCTTGCGTATTACACTGTACGACTTTAGTTTTTATTGGATGGATGTTATATTGATGCTGATCAGCATATCTACCTATAATGTCAAGCATTAATTGCATTTCTGATGTGTCCGAGCTCAATAAGGCAATGTCATCTGCACAAGTAGGTGCACCTATGTAAATATTTCCTAGATGGAAGCCAATAGAGTTGTTTTTGGGTTCTTCAAGTAGATCTTGGACATACAATTTATAGAGGTGTGTAGATAAAATGCCTCCTTGTCTTACTCCTTGTTTTATATTAAAACTATCACTGATATCCCCCATCCACTTTACTTTTGATTCTAAATCTGTATATAGGCCCTTAATAAGTTGTAATAGATCTGGAGGAATATTTTGGTCTAGTAGTTTGTCCATTAGTATAATATGTTTGACTACATCAAACGCTGATTGTACGTCAACTGTTGTTATGAATAATGGTATGTTGTTTTTAAGTTTTTCACATTTTGCTTCTGTTATAAGTAAGCTTGCCATAAGGGGACATAATCCTTCTGTGAAGCCAAATTGTAAATCTGGACCCGGGTGTAATTGGAGTTTCTTAAGAATACACAGTTCATGTACTTTTCCAATGATGGGAGTAACAGTAATTCCTCTGTAACTCTTGACATCTAGAGGGTTTTTGCCACTCTTTATAACAGGAGTAAGGATTCCTGTTTTAAAGGCTCTTGGAATAGAGTTGGTCTCTTTGATTTTGTTGAATAGAGTTGTTAATACTGGTGTTAATACTGATTTGGCATTCTTAAGATGTTCGGCAGTGAGCCCGTATTCATCTGGTGATTTCCCTACATTTAGAGTTTCTATTGATTTTTGAATTTCTGTTTCTGTGTATGGGTCAGATGTTACTGGATTTTCTTTATAAAATTTTTCAATTAGATTTTGACGTGTTTGACAGAGATCTAAATAGGAGTTGTCATATTCCAAGTTTTTTGGCATACTTAAGTCTTCATAATAATTAGCAAATACTTTTCTTTGGTTTGAATGACAGTATTCCTTTTCACCATCTATTTCTATACAAGTTGTAGTACTAGATCTGGAATTTCGGTTTCTATTTATCAGTCTATAGAAAAGTTTTGTTGTTGGTTTTTCCATGATTTGTTGGTAGAGTTGTTTTCTAGCAATAGCTTGCTCTATTCTTTGTGAGTTTCTCAAGAGTTTCTTTGCTGTTTTTAATTCAGTATGTGATGGATGGTTTTGTGGCCGTCCCTGATTTTTCCATTGTGAATATAGTAATTTACATGATTTCAGATGTTTTCGTACGGTTGGCGTTGCTTTCCATTTTGGCCCTTGTAATTTGATAGGTTTTGCTGGAACAGCTACCTTTGTTGCTTTCAGTAATTCATTTGTAATGGTTTGAAGTTGGTCTGAAGTTGAATCCTCAGATTTAATTTTAAGGAGCCCCTCTGATAAATTTGAGTTGTATATTTCAGTGTTTATTTCATCCCAGAGAAGTTTTTTGTATGATGTTCCTTCAGATGGTTTTCTATTTGCAACACTTGGAATTGTTACAGTGGTGTTTGTTTCTACTGGCACATGAGCTGAGCTATTTGTCGCTGAACGGTCCCAAATTTTGTGTTCTTTGAAGATTGATATATTTCTTGTTAAAATGTAATCAATTTGAGAGGATGATTGTCCAGAGTGATGAAAGAAAGTCATTTTTGAGTCATAATTTCCAGCTGTTTGAAGGCCTAGTTCCTGTACAAAGTTTTTCAGTAATTTATCATGCTTGTTTGATCTTGAATGTAATAAAGTTCCATTGAGATCCCCACAGAAAATTATTTCATAAAGGTCCTGATATTTTTGTATTATATCAAAGATTATATCTAGACATTCTGAGTACTCATATGCCGAGTCTTTGTCATTAGTTGGAAGATACGCATTGATTATGCAGATATCATAGTTAGAGGATAGGGTGATAGCTACAATTCTTTCGTTTCCCTCTTTTAATTTCTTAACGTTCCCACTCCATGAATCTGGCCATAAAATTGAGACCCCTGATTGTCCTTTTGGTAGTTTTGATCCGTCTAGTGGATCGTTTGAGTCGTGACAGCGTGTGACGTTGTCAAAATTTGGTAGTATATCAGAGAGAAATTGTTTTTGAAATTCCCACAACCACATGACTTTAACTCAAGTTAATCTTATTAAAAAGGAAGACAAATCAAGCAAGCGGACGTTACGGACATTACTGATATTGTTGTGTAAATAACACTTGTTACAAATATGTAAATAACACCTGTAATTCAGTTTTAAAAATACTACCTCGTTGAATCTTCTACAAATATTAATCAGATCAAAAGATCGATTAATTAGCATTAATCCTGACAGCATTTTATTTTTATTCACTCTTAATTAGGTCTTCTTTTCTGTTATTGTGTATGTGTTTTTACAAGCAAACATGACACAACTTTTAATCTCCTTTAACATTTATGAACCGAAAACAAAATATTTCTGATTGATTTTATCACTTGATTTACGATACATGTAAAGCTGGTCACTTTCTAAATCATTTATGAAAATATTTATATATGTCACAGGGAAATCGCGAATTCAAAACAACACGAATTTAGATTGTATTAATAAATCGCGAAATAAAGACGGCGCGAAAATTTCCCGGTTTACAGTAAATGTTCTTCAACATGTTGACAATTCAACTTTAATATGTGTCAATGATCTTATCCACACGATACTAAAGCTTAAGCACTTATGTATACACAAGATACATGAAGGTATAGTAATTAATCTGAGATTACTATTAGTTATAACTATGATAACATGATCTTTTTTTCATAATCCAAAGCAACTTACAAGTTTGATACCTGATCATTTTGATTATTACTTTCAATCTTCACACTACTTAAAACTCAGATGCGGATTTAGAGGGTTTTTCAGGGGGCCCGGGCCCCCCCTTTTGTGGGAAAAATTTGGTTGAATATTTAGGGAATCACTGACGCATGACTGGAGCGGGCCCCCTCTTAGGCTGTCAGTGGACCCCGGCCCCCCCTTATGCAAATTTCTGGATCCGCCACTGAAACTATTCTATGAACTTATGTCTGAAAGATGAATTATTATGGATTAATTAAATGTAATTAATTTGTTTAAAGAAAAGGTGAAAAATATATCCAGTTACAAATAAAAGAATGCAAGTGTTGTCTATTTTACTTGTAGATCAGTGCTATATTTTAAAATCTGTAACTTGTATATTACCCATGTTACCTGGTCTGCATTTATAAAAATGCAATACAACTTATACATGTTATATATCTATGTATTCCTCATGTCATTGTCTTAAACATCATATATATATATATATATATGCTGATTGTATATTTAAAAAGTCCCTCAGAAACTTTTTATTCTAAATAAAGAATGAACCCCCCATTTTAATAAAAAAAAAAAACTAAAATTCTGAGAAAAAAAAAGAAGTATTTTTCAACATATTCAGTGGTAACCTTTTTGAAATTATACTCCTGCATGATCATGTGATACTATAAAGTGAAAATTCAATAAATAGACTACATACATGTACATATATGTGCCATCCTTTGAACATGTTGAAACCATATCAAAACCCTGTATGATCATGATGGTAATTTATCAGGAAAAAAGAAGATATAAATAAAATATCACCTTTTTAATATCCTGAATATTTCATTAATTTGTTGAAAAAAGTAAAAAAAATCTCCAAAGGACACCAGAACAACAACTATAAATAATGGCATTATGGAAATGAAAATGACCCCATGCCACCCTACAATCTTCAGTGTCATATAATTTTTATCAACATTCAAAGACAGTCCTTAAAATTAGTGAGGAGGAGTTAGAAATGTAGTCATGATAGTTGACCAATGTCAGAACAGAGAAATGCCTCTAAAACACCCATTCCATTTATAGGTAAATTTTAAGGGTAATGAAATTGAAAATATTCTTAGTTACAAGTCCCTTCATATGTTTGTCCAAGATTACAATAGCAATAGTTTTATAACTAATCATGCTCATTAACTAACTTATTTGATTCAGTATAGAGCTGGTACTTAGACAGCTATAGATTGCTCTAGATTTTGAACATCTGTATGTAGTAAGGTACTTAGACATGCAGCTATAGATTGCTCTAGATTTTGAACATCTGTAGTTACTTAGACAGCTATAGATTGCTCTAGATTTTGAACATCTGTAGGTACTTAGGCAGCTATAGATTGCTCTAGATTTTGAACATCTGTAGTTCCTAAGACAGCTATAGATTGCTCTAGATTTTGAACTTCTGTAGTTACTTAGACAGCTATAGATTGCTCTAGATTTTGAACTTCTTTAGTTACTTAGACAGCTATAGATTGCTCTAGATTTTGAACTTCTTTCGTTATTTAGACAGCTATAGATTGCTCTAGATTTTGAACTTCTGTAGTTACTTAGACAGCTATATAAAAATTTATTTAGACAGCTATAGATTGCTCTAGATTTTGAACTTCTGTAGTTACTTAGACAGCTATATGAAAATTAGATTGCTCTAGATTTTGAACTTCTGTAGGTACTTAGACAGCTATAGATTGCTCTAGATTTTGAACTTCTTTAGTTACTTAGAAAGCTATAGATTGCTCTAGATTTTGAACTTCTGTAGGTACTTAGACAGCTATAGATTGCTCTAGATTTTGAACTTCTTTAATTACTTAAACAGCTATAGATTGCTCTAGATTTTGAACTTCTGTAGTTACTTAGACAGCTATAGATTGCTCTAGATTTTGAACTTCTGTAGTTACTTAGACAGCTATAGATTGCTCTAGATTTTGAACATCTGTAGGTACTTAGGCAGCTAAAGATTGCTCTAGATTTTGAATTTCTGTAGTTACTTAGACAGCTATAGATTGCTCTAGATTTTGAACTTCTTTAGTTACTTATATATAGACAGCTTATAGATTGCTCTAGATTTTGAACTTCTGTAGTTACATAGACAGCTGTAGATTGCTCTAGATTTTGAAGTTTTGAAGGTACTTGAATCACTTACATCTGCTGTTTGAAATATAGAGGCTTTATCATACATGTACTTGCTGTCCAACTACTTGGAAATAAAGTAGATTTCAGAATAATATTGAAAAATAAATGCATATATATACAATATATCATACTCTTTCTATAAGATAAGAAGATGTGGTGTGATTGCCCATAAGACAACTCTTTACCAGCATGCCCAGAGACTATATATATGAACATGATGAATGTTTAAGCATTTCATTTATTCAAACCTACACATCCATGACATCTTATAGCAAGAACTTCCTGCAAGGTTATTTCACCGGTATATATGATTAATTTATTCAGATAGAAAATATATTGTAATTTGATCTTAGAAGTGTTTATATGTTCATATGTAGAACCAGCCAGAATAACCATTTACAACTTATCATAATCTATAATGTAGAACCAGCCAGAATAACCATTTACAACTTATCATAATCTATAATGTAGAACCAGCCAGAATAACTATTTACAACTTATCATAATCTATAATGTAGAACCAGCCAGAATAACCATTTACAACTTATCATAATCTATAATGTAGAACCAGCCAGAATAACCATTTACAACTTATCATAATCTATAATGTAGAACCAGCCAGAATAACCATTTATAACTTATCATAATCTATAATGTAGAACCAGCCAGAATAACCATTTACAACTTATCATAATCTATAATGTAGAACCAGCCAGAATAACCATTTACAACTTATCATAAAATCTATAATGTAGAACCAGCCAGAATAACCATTTACAACTTATCATAATCTATAATGTAGAACCAGCCAGAATAACCATGTACAACTTATCATAATCTATAATGTAGAACCAGCCAGAATAACCATGTACAACTTATCATAATCTATAATGTAGAACCAGCCAGAATAACCATTTACAACTTATCATAATCTATAATGTAGAACCAGCCAGAATAACCATTTACAACTTATCATAATCTATAATGTAGAACCAGCCAGAATAACCATTTACAACTTATCATAATCTATAATGTAGAACCAGCCAGAATAACCATTTATAACTTATCATAATCTATAATGTAGAACCAGCCAGAATAACCATTTACAACTTATCATAATCTATAATGTAGAACCAGCCAGAATAACCATTTACAACTTATCATAATCTATAATGTAGAACCAGCCAGAATAACCATTTATAACTTATCATAATCTATAATGTAGAACCAGCCAGAATAACCATTTACAACTTATCATAATCTATAATGTAGAACCAGCCAGAATAACCATTTACAACTTATCATAATCTATAATGTAGAACCAGCCAGAATAACCATTTACAACTTATCATAATCTATAATGTAGAACCAGCCAGAATAACCATTTATAACTTATCATAATCTATAATGTAGAACCAGCCAGAATAACCATTTACAACTTATCATAATCTATAATGTAGAACCAGCCAGAATAACCATTTACAACTTATCATAATCTATAATGTAGAACCAGCCAGAATAACCATTTACAACTTATCATAATCTATAATGTAGAACCAGCCAGAATAACCATTTATAACTTATCATAATCTATAATGTAGAACCAGCCAGAATAACCATTTACAACTTATCATAATCTATAATGTAGAACCAGCCAGAATAACCATTTACAACTTATCATAATCTATAATGTAGAACCAGCCAGAATAACCATTTACAACTTATCATAATCTATAATGTAGAACCAGCCAGAATAACCATTTACAACTTATCATAATCTATAATGTAGAACCAGCCAGAATAACCATTTACAACTTATCATAATCTATAAGGCATTCTTTTTATCATTTTGTTTTAATTTAGGGAGACGTAATAAAGTCGGTTGGAGAGGAATTGTGGAAAGAAGTAGAGAATGCTTACAGAGATTCTGGAAAAAGTAAGTGATACATTTAATTTATAAGCAAACCAGAATCAATGATCTACAAACACATAGCAAAACATACAATTTTTATATGACTGCAAAACTTTTGTGTTAATATTATGTTATGGTGATGTCTGCGTCGTTGACATTATGGTTTCTAGACATTAACTTGAATATAAGTGTATGGATCTCTATGAAACTGTAGCACAAGGTTCCATGGATACCATAATAGGAAGGTTGGGATTGATTTTAGGGATTAATGTCCTAGCTGTTTTGGAAATATGAGCCAAAAAGGGGCAAACATAGTTTTTCATCCTAAGACATTTTGATTTCCAGACCAGAACTTGAGTAGAAGTAGATATAAGAAGATGTGGTATGAGTGCCAATGAGACAACTCTCCATCCAAGTCATAATTTGTAAAGGTAAACCATTATAGGTCTAAGTACGGTCTTCAACATGGAGCCTTGGCCCACACCGAACAGCAAGCTATAAAGGGCCCCAAAAAATGACTAGTGTATAACCATTGAAACGGAAAAACCAATGGTCTAATCTATAAAAAAAGTCTATATACATAAGTGTATGATTCTTTATGAAATTGTAGCTCAAGGTTCCATACCACAATTGGATGGTTGGGGGATTGAATTTGGGGGTAATTGTCCTAGCTGTTTATGAATTTGAGGCCAAAAAGATGCCAAAAACAAAAATAAATCTTGTTTCAGGACAATAACTTGTATATAAGTTGATGAATCTCTATGAAATTTTATCACAAGGTTCCATACCTCATTAGGAATGTTGGTATTATTTTTGTGGGTTATTGTCCTTTCTGTTAAGAATTAGAAACCATTTTTTCTTGTTTCAGGACAATAACTAGTGTATATAAGTGTATGGATAACTCTGAAATTTTACCACAAGGTTCTATACTTCAAAATGAATGTTGGGGTTGATTTTGGGGGTCATATGGCCCAAACCATTTAAGAATAAGGGTCTGAAAAGGGGCCAAAGACTAGGAGTTTCTGGACAATAACATAAATATATTAGTCTATGGATGGCCATGAAATTGTACCACATTACCGTATGAAATATTTAGCAGGATTCCTACCAGACTATAGCAGCTAGGAACTCACATTGAATAAGCAGGAAATTTTAAATTCCTGTTACTCTTTAGACGTACTAGGAAAAACTTTTTTCTGGCAGGATTTTTCATTTTCCTACAACAATATTCCTGGTATGGGTAACAGGAATAGTTTTTTCTTGTCAGAAAATCTTTTATCAGTAATTTTTTCTTATCTTAGCAGGATTATTATCTTGACTAATATTGGTTTGTATTCAATTATCTTTAACTGCATGGATTCCGGTTTGCTAATAACATTTATTTTGCTGTGTTATAAGAAACCAGGTTCCAGTTAACCAATTCAAAAGTTGGAGGGTAAAAGAATCAGATTGTGTATAAAAAATGCTGCAAAGATTGAATAATTTCAAGGGAAATATTAGATTGTAAGACAGGAATGCTTATCAGTCAGGGATATAACTCTATAGGGTTATTTGAGAAAATATCTTGCATGTGTTATAACAGATACTTTCATGAGTTGTCTACTCTTTATTCCTTAATTTTTTTAAATCTGTAGTAACACATGTTTGTTATTTGTTAAATTAGTCATAAATATTTTAATTTTTAGTGGGCACTTGGGAATTCTTGAAACTTTGCCGTAGAAACTAAATACATAGCCTTGATAACTAATTTTCGAATTAAATTAATATATTTTTCATCAACCATGGTAAATCAATGAGACAAGGCTTTTAGGGGATAAACTTAAGCTTAAGGCTTAGTTATAAAAGACATGTATATGTAACTAATTATACGAGACACTTGGGAATTACTGAGAAGCTTGCGCAGAACCTCATTACATGCTCTGATCATTATTTCTTACAATAAATTAAAATACATTGTGATTAAGCATGATGTATGTCTGAGCAAAGGCTTTGAAGTGATGTAGAGAAGCTGTAATAACATTATAACACCCTTTAGTTTTTACAGGCATACTTTTTCTGTAATAACATAGGTGTACTATGCACGATTGGCAAACTATGAACTGTTATATCTTTCTATCGTTTAGTATACATAAAGAGAATGATAATATCAATAGAACTTGTATACATTTTAACCAAACAAATGATGTACAATGTATATTAATTGGCCCTTTGAAATGTGTAACATACATACGTTATCAGAGTTATAACCTTGACTGCTTATGAAGGTTTTTGAATTTAAGCTACACTTTTTAAAATGTTTTTTGAGGAAGTTTTAATTTTTTTTCTAATTAGCATGATAGTCAAATTAATTTCAACTAACTAAAAATGGAAATCTTAGTCTTCAATCATATTTTGTCTTATATATATTATAAGTTCATCTGATCTACATTTTTGTTGTATACATAATAACAGACCAATACTTCTAGACAAAATTGTTTTTGAGAGGTACCAAAAAACACATACATCTATTTCTATCATAATTAAATTCACAAACAGATTACAAACCAGGTTTATAACACAACTTTCATATATGGTAGCTGCTTCATGAATTCAAGAGTCAAATTTTACAACAAGAAGTTTTAATATGTGTTTTCTTTGTTCTTTATGGCAGAGATTCAAACTTAATGAATGACCCAGTTGTGTATATGTGTATATAACTAAGTTTGTAATGTATATTTTTTAGATTCCTGCTAGAAAATCAATTTTCCTAGTAGGAGTTCATGAAAAAAATCCTACCAGGAATACTCAAATTAGCAGGAAAATTTGACAAATATCCTGGTAGGAATTTTACTTTCCTACCAAATTATTCCTGCTAATTTGAATATTCCTGGTAAAAATCACATTATTCCTACTAAGAAAATCCTGCTAATTTAAATTTTTCTGCGGTTTTCTGTGGCAGATTTCTGCTACAATCAAGCAGGAATATGCACACATTCCTGGTAGGAATTCTTAACAAATTCCTACAAGATTCCTTGTACATTCCTGTAGGACTGGTTCGTACAGGTGACTTAGGTTCCATAATGTAAAAGTATACTTTATTTTACCCAAAGAAACTGACTTTAAATATATCAAATATAAATTGCAATAACTGTCCTTTCCTAGATTTAGATTGTTTTACACAGGAAACTTGACACTAAACTTTACCACAAAAGAGACGATTATTCATTCCCTATTGTTAATTTTCAGTTTTGGAGGGTGATGTTCCCTTGGCACTTTTTTTTGGTATTTATATATTATTACTCGTTTGGGATGCCCGTGTCTGTTGTAAGACTTAGGTTTTAGATTTTATTGAACGTAATCTACATGTATGTATTACTGCTAAATTATTAAGTCAGGGATTTTGTTACCACAAATTACTTAAAACCTCTACTAAATTCTTCCATAGATAGAAAGATTTGGTTTTGAAGTTTGGTGGTACCTGTAGAAAACTTATTTCAAACAGGATAGCACAAGGCCAACCCTTGTCCTTCAGTATGTCCGTTCGTCTGTACATCCCAAAATCGGTTTCTGTTCTCTAACTTTAGTTTGCCTCAACCAAATGTTATGAAACTTATACACAATGCTTATTATCAAAAAACACATATCAAGTTTGAATTTTTGTGGTGTCACTTTTACTTTCTAGAGTAATGCTCCTTTACAAATGGTAAAATTGATGAATTTTTCATTTCTGTTCTCTAGCTTAACTTTGCCTAAATAAATAATATGAAGCTTATAGTAATACACAATGCTTATTACCACAAAACTCAGATCAAGTGTAAATTTGGGTAGCGTCACTTTTATCATTCTTGAGTTATGTCCCTTTATAAAGTTATATACTATAAACCCATGGACACATTCCGCCTTTATTTTTTGATCTGAGCTCATAGACATAAACTTGTCATATGACCGTGATGTCATCAATGTCTTTTTCATTAATTACTCCTCAAAAATGGAACATTGAATTAAATTATAAGGAATATTTGTGCTTTTGATTCGAAATAACCTAAAAAATGCAGTGAACACTTTTCAATAATATGCTACACAGGTTATTCAGTGTGCACCATATTTTTTATGTTATTTCTTCATAGACTTGGAAATACTGCAGTCATTCCTTAAGTAGAGGCCCTTACTAGCAGACATAAACTTTTAAACAGGATGCAACTCAGGTCTGCTCCTCAGTAAATATATATGCAATGTCTGTAATATTTGGTGTGCATTGTTTATAATGTAGGATATATGTCTGTCTGCCATAAGTCAATCCCAGGCTTAAGTGGTAGCTGTTTTGTCCTATTTCTAACATTCTCAGGTACACACATTCAATACACTATTTAATTATTTTTGACAGTAACAGATGAAATCCTGTCTGCGTAAGTATTCATTTGCATTATGAAACCAGTTTCACATTTTTTAATTGACATCTCCACTACATTTAATTTCAAATAACTACACTTAAATAAATCAACATATTTTTGACATTAAGACTTGTAAACAGTGTCTGCTTCAAAGGAAGTATGACAAAAGTAAAACAAGCAAATTGGATGAAATACAGGCTAGGGATGTATTTATTCACACATCATTTGATAAGTCTTTATGTCTATCTGCTTTCAATTCCATACTTTATAAATAAAAGTAAACCATGGATTTCCTCAATACTTTGTAATGCAGTTTACCTCACCATTCTTTAGAAAATGTCTGTACCAGGACAGGAATATGACATTTGTTTTCCATTCCATCCATTGGTTGACATAGTGTCTGTACCAGGACAGGAATATGACAGTTGTTTTCCATTCCATCCATTGGTTGACATAGTGTCTGTACCAGGACAGGAATATGACAGTTGTTTTCCATTCCATCCATTGGTTGACATAGTGTCTGTACCAGGACAGGAATATGACAGTTGTTTTCCATTCCATCCATTGGTTGACATAGTGTCTGTACCAGGACAGGAATATGACATTTGTTTTCCATTCCATCCATTGGTTGACATAGTGTCTGTACCAGGACAGGAATATGACAGTTGTTTTCCATTCCATCCATTGGTTGACATAGTGTCTGTACCAGGACAGGAATATGACAGTTGTTTTCCATTCCATCCATTGGTTGACATAGTGTCTGTACCAGGACAGGAATATGACAGTTGTTTTCCATTCCATCCATTGGTTGACATAGTGTCTGTACCAGGACAGGAATATGACATTTGTTTTCCATTCCATCCTTTGGTTGACATAGTGTCTGTACCAGGACAGGAATATGACAGTTGTTTTTCCATTCCATCCATTGCTTGACATAGTGTCTGTACCAGGACAGGAATATGACAGTTGTTTTCCATTCCATCCATTGGTTGACATAGTGTCTGTACCAGGATAGGAATATGACAGTTGTTTTTCATTCCATCCATTGGTTGACATAGTGTCTGTACCAGGACAGGAATATGACATTTGTTTTCCATTCCATCCATTGGTTGACATAGTGTCTGTACCAGGACAGGAATATGACATTTGTTTTCCATTCCATCCATTGGTTGACATAGTGTCTGTACCATTTCAATTCCATCCATTGGTTGACATAGTGTCTGTACCAGGACAGGAATATGACAGTTGTTTTTCATTCCATCCATTGGTTGACATAGTGTCTGTACCAGGACAGGAATATGACAGTTGTTTTTCATTCCATCCATTGGTTGACATAGTGTCTGTACCAGGACAGGAATATGACATTTGTTTTCCATTCCATCCATTGGTTGACATAGTGTCTGTACCAGGACAGGAATATGACATTTGTTTTCCATTCCATCCATTGGTTGACATAGTGTCTGTACCAGGACAGGAATATGACAGTTGTTTTTCCATTCCATCCATTGGTTGACATAGTGTCTGTACCAGGACAGGAATATGACAGTTGTTTTCCATTCCAACCATTGGTTGACATAGTGTCTGTACCAGGACAGGAATATGACATTTGTTTTCCATTCCATCCATTGGTTGACATAGTGTCTGTACCAGGACAGGAATATGACAGTTGTTTTTCAATTCCATCCATTGGTTGACATAGTGTCTGTACCAGGACAAGAATATGACAGTTGTTTTCCATTCCATCCATTGGTTGACATAGTGTCTGTACCAGGACAGGAATATGACAGTTGTTTTTCAATTCCATCCATTGGTTGACATAGTGTCTGTACCAGGACAGGAACATGACATTTGTTTTTCAATTCCATCCATTGGTTGACATAGTGTCTGTACAAGGACAGGAATATGACAGTTGTTTTCCATTCCATCCATTGGTTGACATAGTGTCTGTACCAGGACAGGAATATGACAGTTGTTTTCCATTCCATCCATTGGTTGACATAGTGTCTGTACCAGGACAGGAATATGACATTTGTTTTCCATTCCATCCATTGGTTGACATAGTGTCTGTACCAGGACAGGAATATGACAGTTGTTTTCTGACAGTTGTTTTCCATTCCATCCATTGGTTGACATAGTGTCTGTACCAGGACAGGAATATGACAGTTGTTTTCCATTCCATCCATTGGTTGACATAGTGTCTGTACCAGGACAGGAATATGACAGTTGTTTTCCATTCCGTCCATTGGTTGACATAGTTGAGTGTTTGATTTTATCAGGTTTTATGGACATCCTCCTTTTTTTTATGCCCCATCTACGATAGTAGAGGGGCATTATGTTTTTCAATCTGTGCGTCCGTTTGTTCGTCCGTCTGTCCCTCCGTACCTTCGTCCGTCTGTCCCGCTTCAGGTTAAAATATTTTGGTCAAGGTCATTTTTGATGAAGTTGAAGTCCAATCAACTTGAAACTTAGTATACATGTTCCCTATGATATTATCTTTCTTATTTAAATGCCAAATTAGAGTTTGACTGTTCTATCATTGACTTTCTGTCTACCAATTTCAGATAACTTATGATAATTTTATCATCTACAGATTAAGTTTTGTATACCAATCTCCCCTGCTACCAGCTCTGGATTTAGTGGATCATCGAAATGTCAGTCACATGACCTCACCTAGTGGTAGGTCTGTATACCAGGTAAGCTCAGTAGTAATATAATAGAAATGTCGGTCACATGACCTCACCTAGTGGTAGGTCTCTATACCAGGTAAGCTCAGTAGTAATATAATAGAAATGTCGGTGACATGACCTCACCTAGTGGTAGGTCTGTATACCAGGTAAGCTCCGTAGTAATATAATAGAAATGTAGGTCACATGACCTCACCTAGTGGTAGGATTGTATACCAGGTAAGCTCAGTTGTAATATAATAGAAATGTCAGTCACATGACCTCACCTAGTGGTAGGTCTGTATACCAGGCAAGCTCAGTAGTAATATAATAGAAATGTCGGTCACATGACATCACCTATTTGTAGGTCTGTCTACTAGGTAAGCTCCGTAGTAATATAATAGAAATGTCGGTCACATGGCCTCACCTAGTGGTAGGATTGTATACCAAGTAAGCTCAGTTGTAATATAATAGAAATGTCAGTCACATGACTTCACCTAGTGGTAGGTCTGTATACCAGGTAAGCTCAGTAGTAATGTCATAGAAATGTTAGTCACATGACCTCACCTAGTGGTAGGTCTGAATACCAGGTAAGCTCAGTAATAATGTCAAAGAAATGTTAGTCACATGACCTCAGCTAGTGGTATGTCTGTATACCAGGTAAGCTCAGTAGTAATATAATAAAAATGTTGGTCACATGGCCTCACCTAGTGGTAGGTCTCTATACCAGGTATAAGCTCAGTAGTAATATAATAGAAATGTCGGTCACATGACCTCACCTAGTGGTAGGTCTGTATACCAGGTAAGCTCAGTAGAAATGTCATAGAAATGTCAGTCACATGACCTCACCTAGTGGTAGGTCTGTATACCAGGTAAGCTCAGTAGTAATGTCATAGAAATGTTAGTCACATGACCTCAGCTAGTTGTAGGTCTGAATACCAGGTAAGCTCAGTAATAATGTAATAGAAATGTGTCATATGACCTCAGCTAGTGGTAGGTCTGAATACCAGGTAAGCTCAGTAGTAATATAATAGAAATGTCAGTCACATGACTTCATCTAGTGGTAGGTCTGAATACCAGGTAAGCTCAGTAGTAATGTAATAGAAATGTCTGTCACATGACCTCATCTAGTGGTATGTCTGTACACCAGGTAAGCTCAGTAGTAATGTAATAGAAATGTCAGTCACATGACTTCATCTAGTGGTAGGTCTGAATACCAGGTAAGCTCAGTAGTAATGTCATAGAAATGTTAGTCACATGACCTCAGCTAGTGGTAGGTATGAATACCAGGTAAGCTCAGTAATAATGTAATAGAAATGTGTCATATGACCTCAGCTAGTGGTAGGTCTGAATACCAGGTAAGCTCAGTAGTAATATAATAGAAATGTCAGTCACTCGACTTCATCTAGTGGTAGGTCTGAATACCAGGTAAGCTCAGTAGTAATGTAATAGAAATGTCTGTCACATGACCTCATCTAGTGGTATGTCTGTACACCAGGTAAGCTCAGTAGTAATGTAATAGAAATGTCAGTCACATGACTTCATCTAGTGGTAGGTCTGAATACCAGGTAAGCTCAGTAGTAATGTAATAGAAATGTGTCACATGACCTCACCTAGTGGTAGGTCTCTCTACCAGGTAAGCTCAGTTGTAATGTTATAGAAATGTCAGTCACATGACCTCACCTAGTGGTAGCTATAGGTCTATATACCAGGTAAGCTCAATAGTAATGTAATATAGGAATGTCAGTCACATGACCTCAGCTAGTGGTAGCTAGGTCTATATACCAGGTAAACTCAGTAGTCATGTAATATAAATGTCAGCCACATGACTTCACATAGTGGTAGGTTTGTAAATCAGGTATAAAGTTCAGTAGTAATGTAAAAGAAATGTGAGTCAAATGAACTCAGCTAGTGATTGGTGTGTGTACCAGGTAAGGTTTTTTACTATATGATAGAAATGCCAGTCACTTGGCCTTACCGTCTGAAAGTCTATTGCTCAGGTGTTCATATCAACTCTGACCTCAGGTGTGAATTCAATATACATTTGTGATATGTTTGTCAAAGGATCAACAATATCATGTGAAGTGTAGTGTTTGTTTTTAATGACTGGTTGAATTTTCTTATTTGTCTAAGCTTGCAATCTAGTTCAAACATATACCGGTACTCATTTGAATCAGTAATTTCCTGCCCTCCAATGTTTGATCCTGGAGCCTGCTTTTCAAATCAATCAGTATTTTCTGTTTCTGTGTGACATCAACACCAAGAGCCTATACTTCATCAACTTCTGTATTGGCGATGAATTTTAAGTCTTTGAATTTTATCAGCTACTTCTAAACGTCTCCTTTGTGTCTAGAATGAATTGAATTAAGCTATGGGTCCATATCCTTGTCAAGGCACCACTAAATGTTGTGGAGTCTCTGTCAAAGACGTTATGATTACAAAATACATTTCATTGTAGTAGTAGTAGTTCAAAAGTTATACAACATATCTTCCAACATGTTGCCGTGAAATTGTACTGTTAAAATGGTAAAATAATGTTTTGTGTGTATTATTGTAGGTGATTGGCAGTTCTGGAACACCTTATACCTGCTTTACAACCAGTCTTTATTGTTCCTGTCCAGCGTTCAGATACTCGGGTAAGTTGTTGGCAGTTCTGGAAACCTTATACCTGTTTTACTACCAGCTTTTAATGTTCCTGTCCAGCGTTCAGATACTCAGGTAGTTTATTAACTCTACATAGATATAAGAAGATGTGGCATGCGTGCCAATGAGACAACTCTCCATCCAAGTCACAATTTATAAAAGTAAACCATTATAGGTCAAAGTACGGTCTTCAACACGGAGCCTTGGCTCACATCGCACAGCAAGCTTTAAGGGCCCTTAAAATTACTACGTCTGGTTCACTATACCAGCCTTTTTCATTCCTTTCCAGGGTTCAGAAGTGTAGGTTACAGGCAGTTCATTAACTCTACACCTGGTTCACTACAAATCTGTATCGTTCCATTCCAGAGTTCAGAAGGGTAGGTTACAGGCAGTTCATTAACTATACACCTGGTTCACTACCAGTCTTTATTGTTCCATTCCAGGGTTCAAAAGTATAGGTTACTGTAGTTCATTAACTCTACACCTGGTTCACTACAAGTCTTTATCGTTCCATTCCAGGGTTCAGAAGGGAAGGTTACTCTACATCTGGTTCACTACAAGTTTTTATCATTCTATTCCAGGGTGCAGAAGGGAAGGTTTCAGGGAGTTCAATAACTTTACACCTGATTCACTACAAATCTTTATCGTTCCATTCCAGGGTTCAGAAGGGAAGGATACATGTAGTTCATTAACTCTACACCTGGTTCACTAGAAGCCTTTATCGTTCCATTCCAGGGTTCAGAAGGGAATGTTCCATGCAGTTCATTAACTCTACACCTGGTTCACTACAAGCCTTTATCGTTCCATTCCAGGGTTCAAAAGGGTAGGTTACAGGCATGCACAGTGCATAAACTCTACACCTCGTTCACTACAAGTTTTTATCGTTCCATTCCAGGGTTCGGAAGGGAATGTTCCATGCAGTTAATTAACTCTACACCTGGTTCACTACAAGCCTTTATTGTTCCATTCCAGGGTTTAGAATGGAAGGTTACAGGGAGATCATTAACTCCACACCTGGTTCACTACAGGTATTTATCGTTCAATTCCAGGGTTCAGAAGTTTAGGTTACAGGTAGTTCATTTACTATACACCTGGTTCACTACCAGCCTTTATTGTTCCATTCCAGGGTTCAAAAGATAGGTTACAGATAGTTCATTATCTTTACACCTGGTTCACTACCAGCGTTTCACTACCAGATTGTATTGCTCTGCATAAGAGTTCAGATACTCAATTAGTTTTTTGACAGTTCTTGAAAACAATCAGGGGAATCACTGCCCAATTTTTTATAAGGATCTAAACTGGATTATTTTGGCCCAGAGTGAGTTAATATTGTAAAGTGACCATTTAGAAAAATAGGTTCATCAATAAATCATTGCTTTATTTTTTATTTTAGTTCTGATGAAAGATGATCATTTAATGGTAAGTTTAAATTGATATGGTTCTACGTTTATATGTATATATAGACTTAAAAAGACAAACAACAGTACACAAAACACAAGGCAAAAAACATGAACTGCACCGAAATCGGGTGTGATTCAGTTATTCCTGACAGGTAAGCAAGTCATGCTCCACATTTAGCGCCTGCTGTGTTTCTCATGTAAGTGAAACCAGTGATAAGTCTTAATTTGGTATGTCACATTCAATGAGAAAAGAGGAAGATTGCGGTTACACCAATTAGAACATATCGGTTGTCATCCGTGAAACAGATATTCAATAACAGTCAACCAACGCGTGAATTGACGTCCATAACATTTTTCAATAACATGAATAATAGGCTAAAGAGCTTTGAAAACCAAACTATCAGAAATTTGCCAAGTCTTGCTGAGACCATGTATACATACATTAGTGTTTCGAATGATTTTGATATTTTATGAACACATATTATAAAAAAAAGACTGGATCAATGAATTCTCAGAAATGGGTAAGAATAATAAATTGCAACATCTATGATAATACTATTAAACGAAATTAGTCTGGTTATGTTGCTAGTACATCAATTAACAAACAGATTTCCCACTATATTTCAAAACGAGACATGCAGTTATGTTAGATTTAATTTAATTTTATTATTAATAGTGTATCTATATTAGAGTTAAATGAAATATATATATATATATGTATATTTTTTTACAGTGTAAGCATGTATTAGCTATAAAATTATCTGAGGCAATGAAGCTGACGAAGACATTGGAAGTTACTGATGATGAAATGGCAACATTACTTAAAACAATAGAATGAATAAAAACAATGAAACTACTGGATACTGAATTGGAAACATTAGATATAATAATATAAGGAAGGATATACAAGAAATGACTTGAAAAGATTAGAAAGTATTTCAGACAACCTTAGAATGCAATAACTAGATATTTTGTAATAATAGAATTAAGAAAAATAAAGTGAACAGAAATTAATATAATACTAGAAATCACTTGTTAAGATTGAATAGTATTTCTTAAAACAATAAAGTAAACTATAAAAATGCAACTTATTGTACACATATTGTACAAGTTCTTAATCAACTAATTAAACATTTTTGGACACGTTCCTTGTTTGATGTTAGAATGTCAACATATATATCCGGTTTCTGCTTTACGAAAGGTGTAAACACTGGACACAGTCATTTTTACATCTCCTAACTAAAGAGTACAAGTGCTGTCATTGGTAAATTATGATGTAGTGAGAGTGGGCTTGACTTCTATCTGTCGCTAGATGGGACTACTCTGTATGCACAAGTTCTGACTTATTCTGTCAAGGGTGAAGAGGATCATCTAAATGAAAACACCGATAGTAAAAACAGAAAAGCACAAATCACTCCCTAGAGAACAAAAAACTTCACCAAAAACTCAGACTAAATTGGGTTTACTCAGTTGCTTGAAACAGTAAGCATTTTTTCCAATAACATAATATGTAATGTGAGTTGCTTAGGATGAATGAGCATCACCATCTGCATGATCTGTACAAAAAAGTAAAATCACAAAAATACTGAACTCCGAGGAAAATTCAAAACGGAAAGTCCCTAATCAAACAGCAAAATCAAAAGCTCAAACACATCAAACGAATGGACAACAAATGTCATATTGTACAGGCATTTTCTTAAGTAGAAAATGGTGGATTAAACCTGGTTTTATAGCTAGCTAAACCTCTCACTTATGAAAGTCGCATAAAATTCCATTATATTGACAACGATGTGTGAACAAAATAATCAGACATAATAGGTAAAAATGTCAAAAATAGGGGAACAGCAGTCAACATTGTGTTATTGTCTCAATCACTATAAAAACAAACAAATATATAAACAAACATTTACCATGGCACAATAACACAATGACGGGATGTAAAAGTACAGAGCCACGTCATATGTAAGAAAGAAACACAAAAAGGCATATAGACAAAGCATAATAGCAAAAATGAAAGACAAGAATACAGAAATTATCATAGAACAATAAAACAATGACAGGATGTATAAGTACAGAGCCACGTCATATGTGACAAAGAAACACAAAAAGGCATATAGACAAAGCATATTAGCAAAAATGAAAGACAAGAATACAGAAATTATCATAGAACAATAACACAATGACGGGATGTATAAGTACAGATCCACGTCAAATGGATAACACCAAAAACAAACTAAACAGTAAAAGTAATATTCATAAAGGCAAATAAAAGATTACTATAACACGTTATAAAGACGATAAACAACGTCAGTACCCAAAATCTATACTTCAAGACCATCGTGTATTATTTGTGAAGTTGATACGAAATATTAATTAACAAGGCCTTAGTACCTTCCGATGAACTTTTTTAGAAAAAGAATGAGACGTTCTTTGGCATACCCCTGGTTCATCAAATTTCTGCGCAGACACTGGTGACGTTTTACAAAGTCTCAGTAAATGCTGCATGCTCTTGAATACCGAATAAGTTGGGAAATTTATATCCCATATGCAGGTGAAGTTGGTATATTGCTACTAAAAGAGGGACGAAAGATACCAGAGGGACAGTCAAACTCATAGATCGAAAACAAACTGTGGGGGAAATTGATAATTTCAAAATTAAAATAGTCTCGTTTGTCATAGATTCTGGTACTGAGATGATCGTGTATGTCAAATTCGAGGTATAAAAATGAGGCAGAGGAAGCCGTGTCTGTGGTGTCTTTAATTTCTAGTTCTGGGGGATAAATTAATGGAACCCAATCAGAAAAGTTTGGATTGTTAATGGAAAGAACATCATCAATATATCTGAATGTAGAATTAAATGACCTGGCTTCTTTGATCTTCTTGTTTTTGACAAGTGTCTGAAGGAACTCCGATTCATATGAAAATAAGAAGAGTTCGGCAAGGAGATGGGCACAGTTCGTTCCCATAGGAATGCCGACAATTTGTTGAAAAATTCTACCTCCAAATTCATCAAATATGTTGTCAATAAGAAACTCCAGCATACTGATCACTTGTTCCTCTGTGTAGCATGTTTTTCATTTGTGTTCACTACTAACAGAATATGCCGTTGGTATCCCAAAATAATAAATTTATAGCGTATGCTACAATTTTTATGTTGAAAAGCATCGTGGATTATTTCTTATAGACGATTTTTCAATTTCACATGGGGAATGGTGGTATAAAGGGTTTCAGTAAAACGATCGAGATTTAAAATTATCCAGAAGTTCTTTAGAGTTTTTTAGAATCCACATAATTATGTTTATACCACTACGCGAGTAAACAGTTTCAGTGTATTTCTGATTACCCTCTTTCACTGCGGACAGAATCTTTGTCAATCTAATGGACACGTCTTTAGTCGAAGATGCAGATGAGCCGGCAATGTACCGTTGTTTGTACGAAGTTTAGGTATTCAATACAAACAAGGTAAGTCCTCCGATTTGTTGTTCAATGTAATGTTCATTGAAGCCATGAAGGACTTATGATTCGCCAAAATCTCATCCTTTTCAAATGATATGTTTTTGTATGTGGGATTACCTGAGTTCTCATTTATTCCTAATTCTTTTACAAGACATTCGTAGTAGTACAAACCCACGAAGAACACGCGTAAACTCGGTTTACTTTAAAGACGTTTGGATATAATTTTGATCTACATCATCTATGTCATTAGATTTTTGGTGGTAAGTTGTCTCAGCGACAACCATACCACATCTTCATTTTTAGCTCCCCATGCTTTGGAATAAATGAGCAAATCGGAGGACTTACCTTGTTTGTATTGGATTCCTAAGCTTCAAAAACTTCCGTACAAACAACGGTACATATTGACTCGTCTGCATGTTCGACGAAAGAATTGTCAATTAGATTGACAAAGATTCTGTCCGCAGTGAAATAGGTTCTTCAATAAAACAGTGAAACTGTTTACTCGCGTAGTGGTATAAACATATGTGGATTCTAAAAAACTCTAAAGAACTTCTGGATAATTTTAAATCTCGATCTTTTTACTGAAATCAGTTCTATCAAAATTTTGATTTTTTAACCCTTTATACCACCATTCCCCATGTGAAATTGAAAAATCGTCTAAAAGAAATAATCCACGATGCTTTTCAACATAAAAATTGTAGCATACGCTATAAATTTATTATTTTGGGATACCAACGGCATATTCTGTTAGTAGTGAACACAAATGAAAAAACATGCTACACAGAGGAACAAGTGATCAGTATGCTGGAGTTTTTTATTGACAACATATTTGTTGAATTTGGAGTTAAACTTTTTCAAAAATTGTCGGGATCCCTATGGGAACCCACCTTTTCCTTTCTGATCTCTTCTTCAAAGGCAAGAAAATCAAAGAAGCTAGATCATTTAATTTTACATTCAGATATACTGATGATGATCTTTCCATTAACAATCCAAATTTTTCTGATTTTGGTTCCATTAATATATCCTTCAGAACTGGAATTTAAAGAAACAACAGACACGGTTTCCTCTGCCTCATTTTAAGACTTATTCCTCGAATTTGACATAAGCGGTCATCTCAGTACCAGAATCTATGACAAACGAGACGATTTTTATTTTGAAATCATCAATTTCCCCCACCTTAATAGCAATATACCAACTTCACCTGCATCTTGGATATAATTTCCCAACTCATTCGGTTTTCAAGAGCTTGCAGCTTCTACTCAGACTTTGTAAAACGTCACCAGTGTCTGATCAACTAACAAAAAGACTACAGACTTAAAGTACTGATCTGAGGGTACTCGTAGTTACTGAAAGATTTTGTGATGTTGACGAAAGTGACATTAAAACGATCCTATTGAACTTTGATGTCCAAAAATAACCAGATCGGACATATTTTGACTTTATTTACTGACTACTTTTGTTTGGAATTAATTGTAAGTATAATATTATACATGTTATAATGAGATTGAATTTTTTTTTGTTGTTGAGATAAATAATGATCTTACCTGTCGTAGCCGTGCGTAAAATGTATTTCGGCATTTCTCTTCGAAAAATGACTTATGTAATGGAAAAACAGTCTGATTTGAAAACTGTCTTATTTTCTCCGGAATAGGCTATTAAAAATAACTTATCTACTCTATATATATGGAAATTTTTGTGAAAATATAAGAAGTGGCAATTCTTACCTTTCATACATTTAGTTTCATTAATAAAAAAATAATATGGACTCGTCCAGTGTCCAGTTTGACGGTCGTTTAAGTAACTGTACACATTCATGCATGTTCTGATTTAATCAATATATGTGTATGAAAACACAGTTTGAAGGTAAACTAATATTAACTTAATCCAATAAAATTGCGTAGATTTAATAACAATGACCGGTCCACATTATGATAAGTAGCAGCGGCTAAACTGGGTAAGGAGAAAATGACAGATATTTCAAGTTTTTTTTTTTGCAATAAAGAATATAAATTTGTCAACCAAAAGTTTTGCTATAAGTTTCGGTATAGTTTTCGGAACTTTCATTTGCGTATTTAAAACATTAGAAAGTTTGGGCGTCAAAAATCTACATACTTTATACAGAAAATACGCCCTTTTTAAACATTGAAAACAAAACTTTACGACAAAAGAGATGATTTCAGCTTCCTAATTGTGAACTTTCCATTTCTATGTAGCAACATTCCAGCAGCGCCTACATACGGAGTATATATCTCCCAATTGATACGATATTCCCGGGCTTATATTTCCTATCATAATTTCCTTGATAGAGGGTTGCTGCTCACAAGGAAGCTATTAAACCAAGAGTTCCAAATGGTGAAGTTGAAATCATTCCTTCGTAAATTTTACGGACGCCATCACGAGTTGGTTGATCTTTATGGAACGTTTCACAGATGATATCGGATATGCTCCTTATGTCGTAATTACAATCCACTTCCTTTTTCACCACGAATGTGACCTACCGGATTAGACTATTTACCAGATTTGTAATAACATGAGCAGCAAGGCGGATGCCGCATGTAGAGCAGGATCTGCTTACCCTTCCGGAGCACCTGAAATCACCCCCGGTTTTTGGTGGGGTTCATGTTGCTTAGTCTTTAGTTTTCTATGTTGTGTCTTGTGTACTGTTATTTGTCTGTTTGTCTTTTTATTTT